TTGCATGCTTACACACGCAATCACAAATTGCTGCTTCAGTGACCTTAAATACAATATCACGATTCTGAAAACATGAGGGTGCATGTCTTTTGTAGACGTGCCAGTTAGGACTTACCAAAGTATGTGTTCGTAAGTCGGGCGTTCGTAAGCTGATGACTGACTGTGCAACATTATGAAACGTGAACAACGATCAGTAACGGTCTTCTTCATGCACGGCGATTCGTGTTTCCAAAATCTCTGCAACCTCTGCTCTTCACCTCTTTAAGTCTCATCCCAAAGCTGCCTTCGGTCATTGTAATTCTGCTGTGCTTTGTTTTCATCCTCATGATTAGGCCTCGGCAAGGCAAGGTAAAAGTTAAAAGGTAAAAACAACGAGCCTGCCTTTACCCTACCTTTTACCCTTACCCATACAAATGACCCGATTACAGGGTAATTACTGGGGTACTACTACACATGAACAAGGTTTATAACGGTAAATGCTAGGTAGAGCGCTTTATTCATATAGAATACTCTCGATTATTCCAATTTTACACACTTTTTTTTAACTCACTCTGTTGTCGTTGTTGTATCCTCAAATCTTGTAACTCAATTTTAACCCACTTCCCAATGTGGTATCGACTGCACACTTGGTATACTTATGGCATACTGATGACAATACTATATTCTATCATAAATATATATATATTTTTAAACATTATTTTTATATGTGATGTTTCGGCTTGGGTCTAATTGCCCACGCTCAACTGACGTTGGCTGTAATTGGCCACGGTCCCTTACGTTGTGGCAAGCTTCGGGGCCACTTCCTGGAGTTGTGGAGTTCTGCCAGTACTAGTACATTTCATAAAAGCGTGTTTAAAAAAAGTTTTTTTAATATTACTTATTAATTGGAAGCCACGGACTGCGCCACAGAGCTTTTAGCGGTAAACAAGGCACCGTATTTACCGGGTAATACTTTGCGCTACCTTTACCCTACCGGGTAATTCTTTCGAGCTACCTTTACCCTACCCTTTACCTTACCCCTTGGCATGTCGACACCTTTACCCTTTTACCCGGTAAAAAGGGGAAATTACCTTACCTTGCCGAGGCCTACTCATGATATCATCTCCCTGCACTCCCATTGGCCGTAGTGGCTTCATCGCAGTCCCGGGAGCGGTGTGTTTTGTTGCTGTTGAATAATAATCACCACAAGGCGGTGCTGTGGAACCACAGGATCCACGGAAGCTTTTGTGGTTTTCAAACCGGTGTGGGATGCCCGTTTTGTCTCAGTGAATTGAGTGAAATGTGCGAAAGATGTCCATCAATTCTATGGGGACCTCATTTGCCAGTAAAAATATGATAATTGGTTCTTTACCCTTCTATCTGGCAACAAAACTGACACCTTTTTGCAAGGAGTCATGTTTGCATAGACCGCAATACCTGCAGTCATAATACAAACAAAAGAACATAACTCTGATAATGTGCACTGTCCTTGAAGTTGATTGGTCCACACCCGAGACAGCTTTCCTTCGAGCCTAGTCTCATATGGGTTGGACCAGATGACGCCAAAAGGCGTCTTTTGGCGTCATCTGGTCCAACCCATATGAGACTAGGCTCGAAGGAAAGCTGTCTCGGGTGTGGACCAATCAACTTCAAGGACAGTGCACATTATCAGAGTTATGTTCTTTTGTTTGTATTATGACTGCAGGTATTGCGGTCTATGCAAACATGACTCCTTGCAAAAAGGTGTCAGTTTTGTTGCCAGATAGAAGGGTAAAGAACCAATTATCATGTCCATCAATTGTAAACGTCAGTGTCTTTCTTTCTATTATTTTTCATGCCGATTCGTTGTGTTATTCACACCGAAACAAAAGGGCGGTTCAACATTTTGTTTGTTTAGCTCGGTGATGAAGAGGGAAAAACGAGTTACTCCCAAAACAACTGTCAGTGACCAGGCGCACGTGTAGACTGCAGGTCGACACGGAAATTTGCTGTTGGTGCGGTGCTGACCCTGCAACAGAGGCCTCGCACATTTGTATGTTTGTGAACTGTTACAACTAATTTTGCAATGTAGAATTTGAGGTTGCGGTTGAGTGTTTACCCTTTGTGCCATTTCAGTATTTTACGTAAGAATGTTACATTTTCCTTTTTTTTACGCTGTCCTGGAAAAGTTTGTGGTGAGTCCTGACCAATGCAACATCCTTCTGCTTTTTGCATTATTACATTTTTTTGCGACTTTATTACGTATGATTCATCACTTGCGGGAATTAACGATGATTTTATTTTGAATATTTACATTGCACTATCCTATGAATAAATAAAAAATGTATGCATTCATTCTGATCTTTTAGTGTACATCAATATTTTGATATACAGCAAAAATATATCGAGTGCTTAATAGGATATTTTTCTTTTGATATGCCATCCCTAATTAGCTCTCCATCTGTTCCTCCATCCATCCGTAAGTGCAGTCGATGGATGGGGGTGAGTCGGGGTGTCGATCCGAAAACTCACATCGATGATACAATTTATGAACTAAACTCTCGAATGGGAGCTGTGTTGCCATACGGGACTTACACTATTCTGAAACGACCACATTCAGCAATAGCTTATTGGCCAAAACACTATTTGGACATAAACGGAAGGAAACACGTCTATCTGTAAATCTGAAAATGGGAGTTTCCCCAACAGCTACTCTCGGTTTCCGTACTGATAGTGAAATACTTCCTGGGACGAAGGCGTGTTTCGAAATGTTATTGAGTCCACGCTGCCGCATAAAGTTTTTATTGTAGGCACCAAACTTGCCAGAAAATGACGACGCTTGATGCGGTATTAAGTTATATTTTATTTTTCCTTTCAAAAACTCCAAACCTCTTAATCTCTATATGTACACGCACGTAGCAATCCAAACCTTTAATTGAGTTTGAGTTAATATTGGTACAAAAAAACCCAACAAATAAATACCATTTTAAAATAAATCATGCTTTCTCTAAGACTTTGGAACTGTGATTCATTTCCAGATTTAGGCTGCAAAATCGATGTTACACTACAAGTATTGCATTGAAGTTTTTTTTTCTATCTTGTTAACAAAATCTCTACCCCGGTTCAAACCAAAACACACGCAACTCAACAATTTCTCGCTAATAAATACGTAACATCTGGAGGTGCGCGCTCCATCCTGAGGCGGATGATCTGATTAAAGCCGCCAGCGATCATAGGCGCAAGCATTGCAAAGACTGATTTCATTTTTTTGAAAAAATCCAGTCGGTATTTTCAGTCGACAGACTTCTCACCAACTTGGTCAAAAACACTTTTCCCTTATTTTTCCCAAACTCCAAAACAACCACCACAAGCAACGACAAACAAACTCCATGACTTTCTTTTTTATACGAACCGGTTGGTCATTTGCATGCAGGTTTGGCTGCAGTGTTTTATTTTATTGTTATAAACTGACAGCCTTGCACACACAAAGACCCTCGCAAAATCCTTCAACAGACTGTCGGAACAAGTGCTGTTAGCGAGCACCTATGAAGGCCGGCAAGGCACACGAGGGGGTGGGTGGCCAACACCACGTCCGGCCGCCTTTATCTCCCCAGTGTTGATGTTTACAGACTGCACTCGCTGCTCAATCAAGGCTGAGTCGACCTAGGGGAGGCACGCAACTCGTTCAGATATTCGTCACCGATGTTGGTCGTGAGTGGGAATCGAACTCGGGTGCAGTGCGCTAACTGCTGCGCCACCGCTCACACGCACGTGCACACCCAAATATCATGCTCTCTTGCTGCCGAGAAACTTTAAAGTTGCTCAAGGTGTATGTTGAAATCCTCACATCAATGTAATTATCAGAATACGTAAGTGCTCTGTTCTTTATGGGTAAAAAAACAAGTGTACATGAAGATAAACTGCGCGTGTGAGCGGTGTAAACAACTTAACAGATATGTACATACTGTATTGGAAGAGTTGATACAGCGAATTAATTAACAAAAAACTTGGATATAACAGTTTGGGGAATAGAAAACTGAAGTTTCCCTTCACACTTGAAATACGAACGGACCCTCGCCTGAACTGAGATCGACAGAACAAAAACATCTGAACTAATCATTTGCATTTCCTTCAAAATCGGATTTCACTGCCACAGCTTCCGTGAATCTTTCATGCTTGAATTTTTTGCAGTAAAAAAATTCAAATTTGCGAGCAGTGCCACAGCCGCTGAATTTGATCAGTTTGACACAACACCATCAACAAACATTATCGTAGACACAATTTTGATTAATCATTGTGAACCATAAAACCCCATAATAGCATGATTTTTAGAAACCCAACAATCGTTGTGTTGTTGCATATCTTATTGTAAAAAAAACATATCCAACCAAAACTACGAATGCAAGTTTACATTTGATTAAAACACAAACGTCAAAAGTGATAACGGTTCATTGTGTAGCCCGCTTGCGAGTCGCGACAAATCAAGTGGGCGATGTAAATCAATGGGCCACGCCCGTGGACGCGATGACGTCTACAACGGAAGTCAGAGAGTTGGAAATAAGTGCGTCCCCTCGGGCACGTGAGCACGGCAGACACGCAAGCAGGACTCACCCACCCACTCACCCACCCACCCACGCACTCACTCACTCGGTCACCCAACCACCCACCCACTCACTCACCCACCCACGCACCCACTCACTCACCTACCCACGCACCCAGTCACCCACCCACTCACCCACGCACCCACTCATCCACCCACCCACTCATCCACGAACCCACCCACGCACCCACCCACCCACGCACTCACCCACTCATCCACCCACGCACTCACACACCCACGCACTCACCCACGCACTCACCCACCCACGCACTCACCCACCCACCCACGCACCCACCCACTCACCCACCCACACACCCACGCACTCACCCACGCACTCACCCACCCACGCACTCACCCACCCACACACGCACCCACTCACGCACTCACCCACCCACACACCCACGCACTCACCCACCCACACACGCACCCACGCACTCACCCACCCACACACGTGCCCACCCACCGCACGGCCTGTCTGTCACCTTTTCCATCGGATCAACACAGGTCCCGCGATTTCACATCTCACTGGGATTCCATCTCCCGATGCGCTCTCCCTGGTTGGCGTTAGTGGAACGTTCACGGTCGTTGCCACCGCTGGAGCCGCAAGCTCCCGCTGTGCTTCGCAGCCGTCGCTGCTCGTGAACGCTGCTCGTGAACGCTGCGCTCTCCCGTGCTACTTCGGGTTGCCACCTGCCAGTGATTTTCCCAGAATCGCCCTCATTTTGAGGAGGTTGCTGTCCTGGGAAATGTCGAAGTCTCCCTGGGACATTAAAAGTCCTCGCAATTTTGACGGTTTTATAATAATAATGAGCCACTGGAGACAATGGAGTTCTTCCCTGCCCCGGTGTTGAGAGATTTTGTGATATTGTTCATGTTTCCATGATACGTTCCTGAGAGATGACAACCCTGAAGCCACTGCACGCGCTGCGTCTGACCGTGTGTGGATGTGTTCGGAGAGATTTGCCAGACAGATGTTGGTTGCTTGGTAACATGAGGAACCATGAACCCGTGCGTTATAGCAGACATACAAATAACAGCATTTGTTTAAATACAATTTTGAGGCACTAGGATTCCAATTATAAAAATTTTACTACCTCGATTTTTTTGCAAATCTAAATTTATCGTTGTGTAGGTGAGCCAGACGCCATGGGCAGGGAAGGAAATCTCTAATTTAAGACACGACATGGCAGCAAATAGCCGAGCCTATATTTTCCATGTAACAAAAAGTGGCTGAAAAACTACAAAACTAGTCCTGGAGTGTTTAACGCCAGCGTTGGGTGACGCTCGGGTTATTAACAGAGATTCTCCTCCGACTTGGAATAAACACGGTCACCAAGGGTGAAATGTTTGCCTCGGCATTCGAGACCAATCAGAACTTATAACCCCCCCACCCCAACAGCTGACTGGATACCCCTCACTGAGCAATGCTCCATTCAGTGCTTGCAGAGCCATCCACTACACTGGAGGAGTGGATAAAACTGGCCACCTGTACCCCCAACATCTTTAAATACACCCCGAATATGAACCTAGGCTATGTATGTTTAATGTTACCATTGCTAAAATGCACTCAGTATTAATTTGTTTTTTTATTGATGCCATTGATTGAAATAAATGCTCGATTGATTAGAAAAAATCCCATGGTAACCCATCACCAAATATAGAAAACAATAAACCTCTGTCTAATTATAGTTATGGATTCACCCTAAGCCGGATCTTTCACAAGACGTGAGAATTGACGGTGGCGCCGATTCAACGCGAACACTCCACAAAAGGTTTAATTACTTTGAGTGCATTAGCAGTGGCCAACTGTTGAGGCTCATCACTAACCTGCTGCACTGACGCGAGAGAAGAAAAAAAGGAATCGATGGTAGTTTAAACGAGTGGAAAACCGGGCAAGACGGGCAACCTGATGTTAAGTCATTATACTTTCCCCATTCTTACTACTGCATCAGCCGGGAACTCCCAAGTACCCCCCCAACCCCCCCGTGAAGGGTTGCGTCGAGTAACCAAACCACTGTGACCCACTACCGTGGTGTTTGTTACGATTTGATTGGCTACGTGGGTCGCGCTTGACGGGCCGAGCGGCGCGTTTCAGACGCCGTCGACGTTTCGCGTCCGCATTTTCGCTCGCGGCTCCGTGCCGCTCGATGCGGTCAACTCCCCTCGCGCCGTCCCCAACACGCCAACGGCACAACAACAACAACAACAGCAGCAGCAGCAGCAACACCAAAGCCTTCACCTTAATTCACCCACAACCCGAATGCTGCAAGGTGCAGCCAGTCACAAGCCACGGGGCGCCGCACGTAGTCCACCATTGTAAGCTTCCTTCCATCCATCAATTGAGGAACACTTGTGTGCCTCGTGCATTTTGTCAACAGCCGAGTCCACGCCAGATCCTCCTATCCAATGTTGTTGGGTGGCTCGGGGTTGGAGGGGATGGGTGACAATAACAGAAACGGATCCTCCTTTGCCAATCCGACCCCTTCTCCGGAGACTCTGCCCCTTGCCCGCCGCGCTCTCAAGGCACTCACGCCCTGCGTGCTCGCGACTCGTGCTTGAGGATCGCCTGCCCGCTCAAGCCGAGCGAGGGGCTCGGGTTCCCGCTGCCGGCGGCTCCGGTGGCCCCGGCGGCTCCGGCGACGGCTCCTTGCCCGCCCGGCGCTGCCCCGAGCGCCGCCGGCGGGGAGGGCCGCCCGACCCGCTTGGCATTGCCCGGCAGGGACAGCAGGTGGCTGCCGGCGCCCGCGATGGTGCTTGTGGCTGGCGGGTCGGCTGTCGTCTGCTGTCCCCCCATGCCACCGCCACCACCACCTGCGGTGCACAAAGACAGAGAAATGGGGAGATCGTGAGCACGAGTTGATCAGCGGTGTCGAACAAAGGGCACGGATGCAGCCATGCAATTGCTTGGCAGAGTGGGCCTCCACTACAGATCGGAGTTACCCATGTTTTGTTTCAGGATTTTTTTTACATTCCGTTGAATGTCCTGTATCGTCTCTTGTGGCGGCACGGGTCACGTGAAAAAATTATAACAATGGAATAGTCGATTCTCACATTATTTCATGTATGTTTGAGGATTGCAACAATGTATTTTAGTCTGAATCGCTGCATGGTTAATGCCGATTAGATACGCCTGGGGTAGTGAGTGGGTCCTTGCAGTTGCGTGGCGTATGCCGTTTCCACAAAATTCCATGTCTGTAAAATTGTACTTAATCAGAGGACAACCTAAACGCAAATTCACAAACAGTAGATTCACAATTACTATTTATTGTTCATGAAAACAACCAGAAAATATTACTGGGAGGAAGCTCCTGGTTACACCAGCCCACAGGGGATTATTGTGTCCGTCCATCCGTCGTGCAGGGAGGGGCTGGGTGGGGAGGGGCTGGGTGGGGAGGGTGGGGCTGGGTGGGGGGTGGGAGGGGTGGGGCTGGGTGGGGAGGGGCTAGTCACCCCGTGGTGCCCTTATAAAACTCAACGTTTCACCTACTCACGCCGGCTTGTGCCCGCCCTCACAGTCGGGCATATTTGCGGAATACACCACGCCGCCGTTGACCCTGGCCATTGACCGAGCAACCCAACGTTTCTACCAGCTCCCTCCGCAGGAATGTGTTAAACATTTCTGCTGCATTGGCAGTGGTGCGGAAGTATAATAATCAAAAACAACACGCTCGTCACAAACACTGTGGCCTTAAAATAAAAAAAATTGGCAACGTTTTGAATAATGGCCCTCTTCAAAGCACCATATTGTTGACGCATGTGTTGAGTTTAGATACAATCACAACATCTGTCTTGTAGTTTATAATATTTCAAAGAATTCTGTAAAAATTATACAATAGTTCGTGTTTTATATGTGTTTGCTGTTTATACACATTGCATTCGGTAAGTTATATAATGCTTGGCCCAAACATGTTACATTTTGTTTCGCAAGATAACAAAAGAACGAAATATACAAACCACATATCTCGAGGCTTTACATATACAGCGCCAGCATTCACATCCATGAGCCATGTTTACGATTCGACTCGGTAACAAGGGAGACTCAATCACGGCTACAGGGGGCACATCAGGTGGCTGTGCCAAGTCGCTGCTTGTGTTCATGCGCATGGTACCGTGGCATGGGTAAAATAGTGTCGGTTTACACGCGGTTTATTGGACATGTACCGATGCATTGGTTCATCAATTAATATAAATTTTTTATTTCAAAAAGCACGAATCTCATTATGTGCCTGTGATTATCGATGTTGATGGCAGCCCTGACAAATGAGGGTTGGTGATGGCAGGGAGAAGTCCTTCATCCACCAGAGGATAGACAATGGAAGATGCACACTGTAAGTATTATCTAAGCGTGCAATATCCACATGGGTGTGTGCAGTTGCACTCCACATAACACACACGGTGTCCACACACGGTGCGTATACTGATAGTGATTTCATTAAATAAACATATCTCCATTCCACTCTCCACATGAAAATATATATACATTTGTTTATCCATGACACAAATAGTATTCCATCAGCATTTGTTTACTCAGCATTACTTTGGACCAGTTCCGACCTTCTGGGTCTCATCAGCAGTCAGACTTGTTGAACAAACACTGCTGGGTTGCCAGATGTTATTGACGATTAATTGCAGGCACATCAATAGTGCATAGTGTGTACACATCATGCATACACCGTGTGTCACTATGGAACCACTGCACCGCTGCTTACCATTAAATATGCACTGATGCGACAACACATACACACATAAAGCGTGCGTGTATAAACATAGACACACACGCGCACAGATATGGGTTTAAATTAAGAAAAGTATCTTGTAATACGGTGTTGTATGTATGTTAGAACTTCTTTTGCACTATACATAGCCGCCCGCGATCATTAATCGGAGGTGCGGCAGTGGTGTACAAGCACAAATAACACAAACACATTCATGAATAACACAATGACCTTAAAAGTACAAAGTGTATAATATGGAACGTTTTGTGCAATGGCTCTTCTTCACAGCACGTCACGAGGCCAGAAAGGTGGAGTCAAATTAGTCAGCTATGAAAAATAAGAAAAGGTTTGAACCTTTCTGGCAATAAAACATATGTTAAAATGTTCAAACACCAAATACATGCATTTTGCAAGGAATAAAGTCTGCATTGACCACCCGTACTTGTGGTGAACGTTCAAACAGACATGCCCTGACAATATAGGCATTGTCTTTGAGACAGAATGGACTACACCTAAGACAGCCTTCTTTATGGCCTAGTCTCACCACCGTTGTCAGATCAGAGAACGCCAGAAGGCCAACAGCAAATACAACGCACGATCAGAGTTATTTATAGCTCGGGGTGAGCAGATAAAAACGATCCCATGATAAAATGAGTCAGTTATTCACCTAAAAATTAGAATCGGCTACTTTTTTACGTAGTCAATTACTCAGGTCCCTTTGAAAATGGCGCCCACACCCTCCATCCTGCCTCCCGAAGGCAGGAAACCCCCCAACAAGCCACGCCCAGCCGATGATGCTGATGATGATGACACGAAGCCCCGCCCATCACCTCCCATCAGGGCCACATGTGGTAGCAAGGGGCGAGACTTTATTTCCAATGATCTTGTGTCATCTAATTAAATTGTATAATTTCAGTTTAACACGTAGGCTTTTGCGACCAATATCATCCATAATAGAGGTTTTTGGATTAGATCGCGTAAATATATAAATGCGTCGTTAAAACCCACCACCACCCGACACAGCCAACTAGTAAGGGTTATCACGTAAACAGAACGTGCCAATTCGTCACTCGTACAACACACCGGTGTCTTTGAGAGCCAAGCCACAATATTTATAATCTGAGTACGACGTTTCGCCAGTAATTACAACTATATTCATCAGGCGACAGCCAGATTTGTGGAGAAGTCTTACTGTTTTGTTCCTTATATAGAGGCGTAGATGTGGTGACCACACTTCTGCGCTCTTGCACAATGTGGGAGGGGGGGGGGATTACTGAGTCAACGTACATTATGCATGTGCATTATGCGAGCCCTTTGATCTTGTCCTTCCTGTCTATTGTGTGTATTAAAATAGCCGTACCAACGGTAATCCCTCTTGAAGTATGCTGCCCTTTGTAGGCATGCATTTAAATAATGTATTATTTGATGATTCGCTTCCACGCAGCACTAAGGCGGTAGCTATCTGAACGGTTAAAATTATTTTAATTATTTCAATTTTGATAGATTCTCTAATGGTTCTTGGCCAGTAGTAGCTAGTTTTGCACAGAACTTAAACATTATCAAAATCAATTGAGTGTCCTTGTTGGCACGCATGCTCTGCTACTGCTATCAGTTGTATTTGGGAGTATTTCATATTTCTCTGATGTTCTTTTAGTCTCGTGCTGATCATTCGTCCTGTTTGCCCAACATAACATTTACCGCACGTGCAGTTCATCCTGAACAAACTTTCTGTTGATAGCTTCGGTAAAACATCTTTTGTACCAGATATTAATTTCTGTATTTTATGTACCGTGCCAAATCTGACTTGGATGTTTTGTTTTACCAACATCTGGCTAGTTTATCAGTTACTCCCGCAAAGTACGGTATTTTGATCGTTTTAATTACTTGGGCAGTTTCAATGCTCGTGTTATTTGATTTGGTTTTGGCATTCAATGCCGTGTTGATTTGTGCATCAGTTTAGCCGTTCATTTGCAGCGCTTCTTTAACATGTTGAATTTCACTTCTCAGACTGTCACCATCTGACAATTTCTTAGCTCGATGAATGAGCGTCTTGATAAGAGTAGATTTTTGTGTGGGGTGATGGTGTTACTCTGCATTCAGATAGGCGTCAGTATGCGTTTTCTTTCAATAAACACTGTGTGTTATTTTTTCCATTTCGACCCCGTCTGGGCAGAATATCCATAAATGATAGAGTTCTGTCAGCTTCCACTTCCATGGTGAACTGGATGGATGGGTTTTGCGAGTTGAGATGATTTAGAAATGTGTTCAGTGTATATTTGCCGTGTGACCAGACCACCAATGTGTCATCCACATATCTAAACCAAGCAGATGTTTTAGTGTGCTTGAAGCTATTGCTTTTGTTTCAAAATCTTCCATGTACAAATTTGCTATCACAGGAGACAAAGGAGAGCGCATTGCTGCTCCTTCCTTTTGTTTATAGAAGTCACCTTGCCACAAGAAGTAGGTGTTCTTTAGACAGTGTTCAGCTAGTCTTGGGTTATCTTTAGCTAAACCTTCGTTCGTTACCAGAGAGTCGAGTAATTTAATTGACTCGTTGACCAGAACCCTCGTGAACAGAGAAGTCACATCAAAACTTACGAGAATATCGTTAAAGTTAAGGTTAATATCTTTCATTATATTTACGAGATGTTCAGAGTTTTTGATGAATGAAGAGGTCCTACGGATGTAGGGCTGTATTTGTTTCGTTACATATTGTGCTAATTTGTACGTGGCAGAGCCTATTGTACTAACTATGGGTATTAATGGAACATCAGGTTTGTGAATTTTTGGTAGCCCATGAAGTCTTGGTGGTTTTGATGCCCTTGGTTTGATCAAGTATTGCTCTTCCTTGGGAATTGATGACTTGGCAATGATTGCCGTTGTTTTACGCTCCAAGGTGCTAGTTGGGTGTCGTTAATTTTAAGGTAGGTACCTTCATCGAGTAAATCTTTGATTTCATTATCGTAGTCCTCACGGGGCATCACAACAGTTGATCGGCCCTTGTCAACAGCAAGAATTTGGATATCTTTATTTGCTCTCAATTCTCTTAAGGCTTTTGCTTCACTGAAGTTAATATTTGTTGTGTGCTGTACCGGTTAGTGCTGTACTAGTGACAAATTGGCACATTCTGTTTACGCGACAACCCTGACTAGTTGGCTGTGTCGGGAGGTGGCAGGTTTTCAACGACACATTTATATATTTACGCAATCTAACCAAATAAACCTCTATTTTGTATAATTTCATCCGTAAAATCGGTCCAGCAATCGACAAATTGTAAAATCGGAGAGCCCAGCTCTTGTTTAAATGCACGTAAATGTGGTGGATGGATTTAAAGGCGCGTGTAGGATTGCTGCGATGTGGTGATACGATGATATACAGCAAACAGTATAAGAGCCACAATATTGGTATCGTCTGTTTTGCGAAATATCGTGAATTTTGTTGCTGTGTATTTCTGCGTTTTCACATTAACATTTCTGACCAAATATTTGCAATGCTTCAATAACGTAATTTCACAGAAAAGTAAAAGTAACCGCTATTACCTATTAAATTCGTGCTTTGTAAATAGTTTTCTGGATAATTTGACTGCACGATAATTACGTGATATCATCCCTTTCATAGTTATATTAAATGTTTCGTTATTTCCTGTTAAACTGGCAGCATGTGCCCTCTGATCATTACACACTGTAAAGTTATAATCAGAAACACTGAAGGAAGGCCTGCGTTTGAGTTAACTGCACAAAAATAACAATACAAGTGTGAAATACAATTACGAAGTTATGGGATATCGAGATATAATGGTCGTCTTGTGAATATTGTGTCGTGCGGCGTGGTGACCTCGCGTCTTCTTCTGCAGCGCCAGCGCTCGGTGCCGCTCGCCGTTGGTCTGGAACACGGTGCTGGGAGGCGTCGTCAGCGGATCCAGGGAGTGCAGCTCTCCACCTGCATCGTCAACGTCGTCGTCGTCGGCGTTGACAAATCATCAGTAACATCAACCATCGCGTAAGAATATCAAACGAGTTTTAAATCCACACATCACCCAAATAATTGATATGGTGCTCATTTATCATCTCAAGTAATCCATTATCATTACTTTAACATCTCACCAATTGTCCAGAATAATCTTTGTCATTATTGAATGTAATTGACGGATCGGCACTTTCCTCTTTGTCATCCATCTGATAATGTCACGAACCCAGGTTCGCTCCGTGAGACCGTGCCCCTACTCGCCTGTGGGCTGATATCCGGGTTGGTGCTTTGCTCTGACGATGACAGCCGGTGCGATCCCTCCTCCACCGCCACCGGCACCGCCACCAGCGCCGGCACCGCCAGGGGCTGGCGGGGGGTGCAGCATCACCGCGGCGCGGGCTCGGGGCTTGGGCTGCCCGGGGTTCTGGCCGGCACGGCCCCCGGCCCCCGTGGGCCCGGCGGCGGCCGCCCCCGAGATCTTGTGGTCAGACAGCGTCTCCAGGACGCGCTGCTGCGTGGCCTTCGGCTTGGGCAGCTGCTGTGGAGGGAGAGGACGGAGTCTTTCAAACCTGGACACGCTTCAAGGTCAGATGATTTTATTTGCTTCAGGTGTTTCCGCAACTTATTGTCGTTGTGCTATTATGTCGTGTCATGAGATGACACATCTACGTGGAACTTCCGCGGACCATGCAAGCCTGTGTGGTAGAGAATGGCCGATGGAAGCGGACTTTAACTGAACTTCTGAGATCCATTCAAATGGTATTTTTATCCCCACACGCGGAGACAGCACACATTTTCACACGCCCTGCTAAGAGGGAAAGTCTTGTTACCAACTTGACAGTGAAACTGATATCCAGCCAAATTTAGTGGAAAATCAAATTTAAGGTTTTTTTTTATTGGCGAAATTGGTTTCCAGGCGCTGGCCATCAGCTTGCTATACTCAGATTGTATGCAGGAACTCGCTGACAAAGGCAAATATCAGTGCCAATAACTACGCTCCATAGCGAATGAACGGCCACATTAATATATTTCGTCATGGACTTCATGCATTGCTGCGACTGTCGACTGTTAAAAATATTCTGGCAGATTGACTGGATGTGAGATGTTATTCAGGAGGATAAACTGCACGTAGAGTCTCAGCCAGCCACCGATAAAGTATTGTAGAGCTTCTGAACCAGGTTGATTTCCCATTAACGGCAATGGAGAAACGGGAGGCCCAGACTGCTGCAGAGCAAGTTTGCACAGGGACTTTACAGTCCTGATGTTAATTAAAATAAGCGGTGCAAACATTGGCACCAGCATTTGCTGGCCCCCACTCTGAAACCCACCGCGCCGTCTCACTGTAGCCTGGCGGCGAGCCACTGAGGCGTCACGTTTCGACCTTGGAATGATCTCAGTGTTCTCGGGGAGGGGGCTCGGCGACGTGGTCGGCCTCACGTTACTGCCGGGGACAACGGGCAGCGCGTGTAACTGGAGAGGGAGCGAACAGCGGCTCGCCCCCCCCCCACCGGGCCGACGAAAAAGGCAAAAAGAAACGGACCGCCGGCTTGCGCGCCAACTCTCCGTCACCTCTGGGGGCGGTCAAGGCAGTGGACGCGATGGAATAAACCCCTGGCGGCTTCGTGTCTCGCCCTGGGCGTGCACCGCGCGTGGCGACGGCCCTGCCTCTCCACTTGCAGTGAGGGCTGCGTTGAGAGCTGCCAACGTTGTGGAGTTGGGCTCGTGTCAAGCTAAAGTGTCGCATGTATGTGTGTGTAACTTCTTTCTCCCTGTACGTAGTCAACCGTGCCAAACGGAGGTGCGGCGGATGGACAAATGCAATTGCCATCTCTGTCACGCTCACTCCGGCGTAAAGGTGCAAGCCCTGAAATTGCTCGTTTACGCCACTGCTGCCAGATGGCCCTCCACTAGACGGAGCTTTGCAGAGTCCCTTAAGACTTCGATTGCCGTCCCTCCCACGCTGGCCCGACGTCGCGCAAGAGGTGGCAGTACCCACACTTCACCCCACGACATGCCACCTGCCAATCGACTAACTGTGGGCGTGCACATTTGCACTGCTGGGTATACAGAGGAGGGGGATTAAGAAAGCTGCCGCGTTTTTTTTTCTGTAATCAATCCTCTTTCCTTGTTCCGGTTCGCGCCTTGTACCAGGCTGGTGTCGAATGTAAAAAAAAAGAAAACTGCCGTGCCAAGAGATTGAATCGAACCGGTGACCTCCGGGTTAGAAGTTCAACCATTACAGCACCACACTACAACAGCAACCCTGTCGTGTTAATGCGCACTGTATTCTTAAGCCACTCGGCCGTGTTGTAGCTTAACACGAGCGAGGCAAGTGACGTCACGACACACAGGGCCGTGGCCCCATTGACCTCCGTGATGTCATGAGTGCCGGAGCAAAAAGAGCCGCTGCTCTTACAAAGCAGTGCTGCCGGTCCCGAGACTCCAGCTCAATTAATAATGACGTGGGCACAGCTTTTCCGAAATCACGGAGTGCCACGGGCAAGAGAATTGGACAAGACTGGCCAGACCCCGACCCAATGAATGCTGCGCTCTGCAATGCAGGAACCTTGTTCTAGCACAATGGGTTCCCAACCCTTTCCAGATCCGCCGTGACCGTACACCGTCCAGCATTCGTTCGCAGACCACTGTGCACCAAGAACATTTTTTGTTCAATTAAAATGACTATATCGTCGCATCTACAACAGTTCCACGGAAGCATTTCCCACTTGCCTTATGAACCACCAGTGATTAGTCCATGGACCACAGGTTGGGAACCAGTGCTCCAGCAGTTTATCATTCGCTGGCAGCGTTTCAGAACTTTACCATGAGGCTAACCCCGCACATGAACACACGAACACTGCCGATTAACTCCCCCACGGCGTGAATAAGAAAGACGACCTTCCCCGAGCCAGGAGTTTGTTTTTTTGTCTATTTCCGTGGGTTCGGCCACACCTCTCGCCAGCACTCACCGCTTGTCTGCCGACCTCGAAGGAGCGCGACCGCGTCTTGCGTCCGTGCGGCTGCTCTGCATGAGCCTGGCTCTGCTGCTGGTGCTGCTGGTGCTGCTGATGCTGCGACATCGGCGGGGGAGCCTGAGCACCGTGCGGGGCGGCTCGCCGGGGCTGCCGTCGTGCCTGCAGCTCGGCCCGATCGCTCTGCAGGGAGTCGGCCCGCTCCCTTCCGGCCAGCGCGTTGGGCCCCGCGCCGCGAGCCGGCAGGGTCCCCCCACGCGCCGCCACGGTGGAGCCGGGCCCGAGGCTCTCCTCGCTGCTCGCCTGGTTGACGCGGAAGGTGCCCGCGTGGCTGCCCAGGGCGGTGCCTGACTCGCAGGGACGGGCCATGCCAGGGAGAGGCCGAGAGTCGATTCAAGTCAAAGTGATTCTCTGCTCAAGTGGGCATTGAGGCGATGCTACTCATCTCCTGTTTACAGCCCGCACCTCCAATTAGCACGGTTGGCTACGTACGGCGCGAAAGAAGTTCAACATACATACAGCCCTCAGCCAGTGGTGGAAAGTTCTCATTCCTACGACAGGGGCGAGTCTATCCATAGGGCACCCACTGTGGACTTCTCCACACAGTGACCCCAGAGGGATGATGGATTGCGTCAACCCTCCCGACCAGCACTTGTTTGGTTAATACGCCCACCGCGGTATTAATCAGGGCCGCCGCTAGATTTGAGAAGTGAACCACTGCAACATGCTGCGGATGTGCAGTCTGTTTTAAACCCATCAACGGAACAAAACACCTGCAACACATGCATCATTCCTGTACAGACCACGAAGATAAATGATGGCCACAGCCACCGCCGCCGCCGCCACCATTGCCGTACCTAGCGAGTGCTGAGAGTTCACATGGGAGGCCGTCATTCCTGACCCGAACCCCAACCCCGCTCCCTCCAGGGGCTCCATGGCTCTCGCCCGTGACCTCCGCCGCTCAGCGATGACGGAGATGCTCTTCGTCCCCGTGGCGATCTCCGCGGTTATGGCCGGTGCCACCCGGGTGTTGATGCTGGTGTTGCCATGCTGCTGTTGCTGGTGGTGGCTGTTGACGCTGTTGAGGTTGACGACGTTGCTGTTGTTGTTGCCGCTGGCCTGCGTGCGTCCACGTGGCCTGGCGCGTCTCTGGTCCCCGTGTCCCAGTGCCGCCCCCCCTCGTGTGCCCTCGGGGGCCGGGTCACCTGACAGGCTGCTGTTGCAGCGGTCGCTCAGGCTGGCCAGGCTGCTCGTGTTCTGCTCCGGTTTCTGTGTGGCGGTTGAGGGGGGAAGGGGCGGGGGTGGATTACCGTGAGTGAGGTCGTCAACAGTGCCATCAGTTAACATCTTACGGTGGTGAGAAGTTAACTACCTCACCTGCTATACAGGAGGTTGTGGGTTTGATCCCGACCCTGACACCCGCTGTATATTTGTAGTTTGAGTGTCACTCTACCTGTGGTCATGTGGATATTTCTCCTGGTTCCTCCAGCTTTTCCCTCCACGATAAGAAACACGCGTTCAGAGTACTTGGCGGCTGCTATACATTTCCACGTGATAAGCCACTTCGTCGAGCTATCATTTGTGGCCAGGTCATTTCAGAAAAATCAGTGGGCCTTACCTGGTGAAATAAAAAAACATAAAGCCGCAGCCCTGCAATTGCTTGGTCACACCACTGCTGGCGGAATGGCCAGGAGGTGGTGGCTCTGCACGCCTCTAATCCGTCCCTGCGGAGGCAGCGAGGCTTGGCGGATCACGCAAGTGGTTTTTTGCTTTTATTATTTTCAATTTATTATTTGTATTTTTTATAATTTTTATAATTTTTTGTTTTTTTATTTTATTTGATTTGATAATTTTTTTTTATATCTGCGAACCAAAAATGGTGAAACCCCCTTCCTGTGTGCATCGAGGAGGTGCCATACCCTGGTTCGCCAGTAGAAGGCATGACAGCAAATGTGGACTTCACCTGTTCCATCTGTATTGGATAGAGTGTTCCCCCACTCTCCAGGCACTCCAGTTTCATCCCACATGTAAACACTCGTTAAGTGACTTATACTGGTAGGAACCTCCTGGTTACACCAGCCCACAGGGGATTATTGTGTCCGTCCGTCCGTCGTGCAGGGAGGGGCTGGGTGGGGAGGGAGGGGCTGGGTGGGGAGGGTAGGGAGGGGCTGGGTGGGGAGGGTGGGGCTGGGTGGGGAGGGTGGGGAGGGGCTGGGTGGGGAGGGTGGGGCTTGGGTGGGGAGGGTGGGGTGGGGAGTGGCTGGGTGGGGAGGGACTGGGTGGGGAGGGTGGGGAGGGGCTGGGTGGGGAGGGTGGGGCTGAGTGGGGGGTGGGAGGGGTGGGGCTTGGTGGGGAGGGGCTGGTCACCCCGTGGTACCCTTATAAAACTCAACGTTTAACCTACTCACGCCGGCTCGTGCCCGCCCTCACAGTCGGGCATAATTGCGGAATACACCACGCCGCCGTTGACCCTGGCCATTGACTGAGCAACCGAACGTTCCTACCAGCAGCTCCCTCTGCAGGAATGTGTTATAATGTACAGGGTGGTTACGGTTACGTTTAGTGGACCACAGAGCTTGGGTTGTTGTCAGCTGACCGATGTGGCTGCCTCCCTGCCTGGCTGTGGTTTCTCGTGTCTCTGATCATTCCCTGTGTCCGAGGAATGAGTGCGTGCTATGTGCGTTACGAGCCGAAATTATCGTTATTATTCATCAGTAGCATCGCAAGTGATATCCACTGTTTGTATGCAATTATCTACGTATTTATTTATTATTCAGGATTCTTTGAGATTGATGGCCTAAAACATATCCCATGGGATAAAAAAAAAGATCCCATCAATACGTTTAATATTGGCTTTCACTCAGAGTATCCAGGCCTGAATACCAAACTCTGCAGTTCAATCATCGCGTGATTGAAAATTCTGTTTGTGCAAGTTTTTTCTTCCTCTCTCTGTTATAATGAGTGTGGGAGGAAACTGGAATGCCCTGCGAAAACCCACACTTAATGAAAGGAAAAAAAATCAAAAGCACAAATCCCATGCATAATCCCAGAGCTTACTCACGAACCCTCAACATCTCCAAAGCTTGGCGCCATCTCAGCGGATGTATAGATTTTCATTTAACACACTCGCAGCCAGCAGTACAGCATCACAATGTCAGAAAAATGCATCTGGAGGGTTCGGTTGTACAACATTTTTTAAGCGAAAAGTTGCCTTGAAGTGTCAGTGCGAGCAGTAAACGTTGAAGGGAAATTACATCAGGTGTTTTGTTTGTTTGTTATGCAAGGGGCCACTTGCAGCCAATTTAACTGTCCTCTTCACAACACTCTGGGGACGCACCATTTTACACGCTCCGCAAAGATTGCTTGTCGGCTGGTAATTAAGATGGCTGCGCAATTAGGTCGGCAGAGCTGGAATGCTTCGAGGCAGGTAAACAAAAATACAGCGGATGGTGGCGTTCGCCGATATGGTGCCTGTGACGGCCCGCGGTGCGTGCCGCCCTCACCTGGTGCCCGGAGGAGACGGTGGTGACGCGGATTGGGGGCGGCGTGGCCACCGATGACTTGTAGATCTGCCGTGCTTTGGGGCTTTTCTTGAACACTTTGTTGCTGTCGCTTCACCCGTTTAACGAACGCGTGCATGCACACGCGGACAAAGACAAAGATCCCACCAAATCAACCTCATGGCGGGACCCCGGGGTCCCATAAGCCCCCGGCGCTCGCATAAACTGCGTTGTGACGTCATTCTATATCTGTTGAAAGCGAACAATACGGCAATCTATTCGTCTCGAAGAGCTCTACACGATGAGCTAATCAAAGTTTTGTTTATTCTGCGAATTCGTCCTCGCCGCTGCGCTTGGACATGACAACAGAATGATCCGCGCCAGGTGGGTCGCGGCGTTTGTGTGCTCGGTGGGACGGAGTAGCCAAAAATAAATTAATTAATTACGATTTTGACTTCCGTTTATTTGAGACCCCAGGGTCCCGCCATAAGGTTCACACAGCCTTGTATGTATATATGTGGAACTTCTTTCGCACCGTACGTAGCCAACTGTGCTAATCGCAGGTGCGGACTGCAGGGACGAGTGCCATTAGTGAGTACCGATGAAGGTCCGGCACGGCACACGAGGGGGTGGGTGGCCAGCATCACGTTGGGCCGCCTTTGCCTCCAAAGTGGCGATGCTTACACATCGCACCAGGAACTCATTTGAGGCTGAGTCGATCTAGCGGAGTCCCAGGAATGGTTCAGATAATCGTCACTGGTGTTGTTCATGATCGGGAATGGAACTCCCGTCACCGGGTTCGTAGCGCAGCGCGCTCACACCGCTACAAACCCCCCCCTCCCCCCAACACGTACGGACAGAGACAAGACACGTGGATACAAGAAACAGACGCGCTCTCTTTGTTAGTCTGGCTGTTGTGTGGGGTGGGCATGCTGGCAAATGGGGAGACGGTCGTCACAACACACCGCAAGATCCCCTTGAAGAAGAGGCATAAAATATTAAATGTAATCAAAACCCATCGGTTAAGCGAGAGTGTTTTCCTGCTCAAACGAGCAACGGACAGCGCTCATCTCCATTGGTGGTCCTGAGCCATCGGTGGGAAGTCGACAGTCCTATGGCAAGGCTCTCTCTTTCTCTGATTTCATTGCACATTATCCTAGGGCCTCGAGTTAGCGACGTCAAATGAAGTAAAAGTGCAACTCCTCCTCCGCAGGGAGCGTTTAGCTGCTGCATTGTGTCTGTAAGAGCCTCCCAAGGTGTGGGGGGGGGGGGGGGTGAACCAATTATTCCGTGTTCCTTATCTCCCAGCAGCAGGGGAGACACGGGCAGTGTGCCATATTGTAACCAGGGCCTCCCGGGGGGGGGGGGCGGGGGGGGCAGGGGAGGGATTTGGGGTTGGGGGCAAACGATTTAATTAGCCCCCGAGTCTCACACAAAGAGAGCCCCACAACGAGCCGGTTTATATTGTCGTTAATGAACAAGGGGGGGGGGGGGTGCGTAGGGTGCCCACGTGGCCTCCTCCTGCCCCATGTGTTCAGAAACCTCGGGGCCCCTCCAGTGCACCGATCAAGATCCATAATATTGATTAATACTGATGTCTGTCCAGATCCGTGCGAGCGAGCGAGCGGCACCGATCAAGGTCCACGTGAGAGTGAGAGCGGCACCTGTCGTGGTCGGGGTGGATAGGCGGCAGCGCGTCGCGCGTCGCGTCTCTTCCCCCCCGCGCCGGGCGCCCCTTGCCGCGCCCCTTGCTGCGCCGCTTGGCGTCGAGCGGCGAGCCCTCGTCCTCGCGCTCCGACTCGGGCACCTCCAGGGCCATCAGCGACGCGGGGCCCAGCATGGGCAGGGAGCGCTCCTGCGGGACGGTGAGGAGGAGCGGTGAGGGTGGCGATGGGGGGAAGTGGGGGGTGCAGGGGGTGAAGGAGAGAAAGTTAAGTAAGAGTTCTACGGTACAATTATATTGAATCTACGCCAACGGTGCACACGCCGCTGTGCACGGTATTTAAGGAATCAGAATCTTTATCTATTCTGGAGAAATCCGATTAGCTATTTTTTTTACAGATGTCCTGTCGTTTCACAGATGCCCAGTAGAGGTTCTGTACTCACCATAATCACCGTTGAAGGGAGACAAAACACAAACAAAAAAAATTCACAATTTCTGCCCAATAGCCATGTGTAACACGCTGTGTGCAACACGTTCTGCACCGTGTGGTAGCGTTGGACAGCCAGAGAGGCTGCGCCCTTGGGCGCCGCTCACCCGCAGGGCGGTGGTGGTGATGGAGTGCAGCGCCACTATCTTGTCCAGGTTCCCCTCCTCCAGCTCGCGCAGGTACGCCTGGTACAGTTCCTCCACGTCTCTCGGCACCACCACATGGTGGTCTGCAGTGGGAGTCACACACCCACTCACGTACCACTCACTCACTCACGTACCCATTCGCTCACTCTCCCACTCACACACTCACCTGCTCACTCGCTCACACACTCAGCCACTCGATCACACACCCACTCACGTACCACTCACTCACTGACGTGCCCATGCACTCATTCACCCACTCACACACTCACCTGCTCACTCGCTCACACACTCAGCCACTCGATCACACACCCACTCACGTACCCACTCACTCATGTATGTATGATGCCAGCATAGTGCGGCAGAGGTGGTGGCTGTGGTGGTGACGGTGGTGGCTGCAGCGGTGGTGGTAGTGGTGGTGGCGGCGGTGGCTGCCGCGATGGTGGTCGTGTTTGTGGTGGCGAGGATGGCTGTGCTGGTGGCGGTGGCGGTGGCGGCGGCGGCGGCGGCACCCACCGTGGATGAGGTCGCGCTGGTGCCGGATGACCTGGTCGCACAGCCCCGCGTGCTGCTGGTAGCGGCGCAGCACGAGGTCGCGCTGCCGCAGCAGCGTGTCGCGCAGGAGCGCGCGTGACTCCAGCTCCGCGTTGTCGGCCTCCAGCTCGTGCACCTTGCACAGCAGCGCCAGCACCTGCCGCTGCTCGCCGCCACCCAGCGCCGCCGGCAGCGACTCCTCCAGCCGCACGGCGCGAGCCTTCGCGGCCGCGAGCTTCTTCTCCAGCTCGGCCTGCCCCGGCGGGAAGGCAGCGAGCGGCATCAGTGTCATCGTCGTTGTCGCGATCGTGACCGTTGTCATTATTATTCTCAATGGGTACTCTCTTTGAATCCAGTATTGTCATTGTTGCTGATACCTGCGGGCATAGGAATCTCACACAATGTCCCCGCGGGTGGTTGGCACCGGCCTGCACACTCGGCAGCTGTAGCCCTGTTAGCACCCGCTGAGTGACACCAGCAGAAGTTCACTCGTGTCTGCTCATCGACAGTAGCTTCAGGCCGAAGAACGGCAGGAAAGTTGCTCCCTAACACACCAGCTCCTTGCCACTGTTACAAGCACCTGCTCTTGAACAACAGCGTGAAGGAGAAAAGATCCCCTGTGTAGCCTTTAACAGACCGTTGGGACAAGTGCTGTTAGCGAGTAGCACCTACGAAGGACGGCACGCAACACGAGGGAGTGGGTGGCGAGCACCACGCCCGACCGCCTTTGTCTCCCCAGTGGCGATGTTTGCACATCCTCACCTGGTACTAATTTGAGGCTCACATACACGCACACACACACACAAACGCGCGGGGCGATCTCTGCGCGGTCCACCAACCCGCCGCCCACCCGCGCACCTTCAGCTTCGACGTGTTCTTCTGCTCGGCGAGCATCGACGAAAGCTCGGACCTTGCGCCTGACACCTCGGGGGGCTCGGGCGAGTCCGGGGGGTCGGAGTAGCCCCCCTCCTCGTCATCTCCATCGTTGTTGTCGTCATCGTCGTCGTCGTCGGTCCGCCCGCCACCGCTGCGCTGCTGCTCACCGTCGTCGGAGTCGCGGCCGCCCTTGGACTCGCGGCGACGCTCGGCGCGCCACTTACGCACGCGGTGCTGCCGCTCGCGCTCCCAGCTGGCGGGGGGGGGGCGTGGGGGGGCCGTGGTGGGAGGGCGGTGGGGGGGCAGGGCAGGCAGACGGGGGTGGTGGTGGGGGAGGTGGGGGCAGTATGGGGACAAGAATGAGGTGACAGCGGTGATAATGGAACGTCGAGGAGGTGGTTTAGAGGGCAGGGCGTGGAAATAAATAAAAAACAAAAGATGGAAAAGGGTGCAGAGGAGATAGCGGACAGCAGAGAGAATGTGTGGAGAGAGGGAGAAGTGGCGATAAGAGTAGAGGAGAGGGGTGAATAAGTAGGGAGGATGGCCGAAATGGATGGAGAGGAAAGGTGGCAGAGAAGATAGGAGTGGCAGTGAGAATAGGGAGCATGGAGAGGGGAGGTGATAAGAGCGTAGAATATGGGTGGCAAATAGAGTGGAGAGACAAGGCATTGATTAGAAGTGAGCAGTTACATGATAGGGAATTGTAGCGGACGTGTAGGGGTGGCAAATTTGCTGCACTCAAGAACACGGTTTTATCAGAATCAGAATCTTTATTTGTCCTGCAGAAATCCAATGGGCTTAATCTTGGGCAGCGAAAACCCCAATTCACACTCAGCTCACTGGTCTGGACGCATACATCCTGCAACTCCGATTAGCATGGTTGGCTACGTACGGTGAAAAACGAAGTTCAACATACATCAATTATAAGCTCCCCATGGCCACTGGATGTTCTGAAAACGACGGCGCTTTTTTATTTTTAGTGAATGCAAAACCCCTAAGCCAAGCGCTGGCTTCCGGTCCTGTTGTGTTGAAGGCAAGTTGGCCTCCGCTGAGTTTGTGGATTGCGCAGACTTCGAGGATGTGGTGCACGGTTTGCTCCACCCCACGGGCACATAGGGGGCTTGCTCTTTTGCCCCATCGGTGGCGCTGTCCCATACCTGTCAACCCCTTATCAGTGCCCTACGTAACTACAGACCAATTCAGACGTTACTCGTCACCCCGTACCCTTATAAATCTCAACGTTAATCCGAAAAAGTCCCATCACAAGGGAGAAAAACAAACAAATATATATTTTTTTTACTCAATTTCCCTTTACGAGAATACGGATAAACCATGTGGGTTGGCAGGTATGCTGTCCGCCACTCACTCGGAGATGGTGAGGAGGTGCCTGGACATGTCCATGTGCATGGCGAGGCTGGAGTTCTCGAGCTCCATGAGGCTGCGGCGGATTTCCATCTGCTCACGGAACACGGCCAGCAGCTGCTCGCGAAGACGTGACACTTGGCTCACCTCCTCTGTAAAACACAACGGATCCCCTGTGTAACCTGAACAGGCTGCTGGGGCAAGTGCTGGTAAGCGAGCACTTGTGAAGGCCGGCACTGGCACACGAGAGGGTGCGACGCGCCATCTTTGTCTCCCCAGCGGTGATGTTGACACACGGCACTGAGTCGACCTAGGGGAGGCCCAGGACAAGTTTAGATATTCGTCGATGTTTATTGGTTGCGAGTGCGAATTGAACTCGGGTCGCCGGCTTCGTAGTGCAGTGTGCTAATCACTGTTCTGCCCCCCCCCCCCCCCAAACACAGACAATGACAGCCGTCACCCAGAGAGCCAAACAGACTTGTGGCAAGCGCTGTGAGCAAGCACGTACTTAAGCTCGCGAAATGCAAGGCGCAGTCATAAAAAGCTCATCGTTCGAATGCCCCTACCTCTAAATCTCTAATTAGTCTATTAAGTACATTATTTCACATACACGTGTGCGATAGAGTCGAGACACGCGCCTTGTCCATCGTACAACGTGTGTAAATCACGCGACGGATGCTTGAGGCTCCCAATTGGCTGGCACCGCCACCGGGTCAGAGGTGGGGAGGTGACGGCGGGAGGAGGGGGGGGGGGTCGAGGGGAGACCTCACCCTGCACGTGGCGGATCGTTGGCCGCCCATCCTTGCGCGGCTGGTCCAGCACCGACTGCTGCTCGATCTTGGCCTTGAGCCGCTGGATCTCGCGCCGCAGGTCGGCGATGATGCTCGTGTACTGCGCGATGTGGTACGACACGTTCATCAGGTTCCTCCGCACCTGGGGAATCGATGGGTCGGGGTAGAAGGGGGTGGGGGGGCGAAGATGCGATGCGGAATGTATGTTGAACTTCTTTCGCACCGTACGTAGCCAACCGAATGTGGGATTTTCAACACGAGTTCAATGCTGTCAATGCAAATGAGTGCTGTCTTGGAGCTGAGCGGGAAGATACTTTGTCATCATCATCATCAGCAGCCACCATTCTCTATCCACTGTTGGATAGTGGCCACTCGGTGCCATTTACTTGTATGCATGTTGAACTTCTTTCGCACTGTCGCTAGGCAACCGTGCTAATCGGAGGTACGGAGAGAATGACAACAAACTAAACCCAAAAATCAATTGCAAACAAATTCGTTTTAATAATTGGTTTTTTACCCTTCTATCTGACAACAAAATTGACACCTTTTTTTTACAAGGAGTCATGTTTGCATAGACCACAATACCTGCAGCCATAATGCAAACAAAAAACATAACTCTGATAATATATGCACTGTCCTTGAAGTTGATTGGTCCACACCCGAGACAGCTTTCCTTAGAGCCTAGTCTCACATGGGTTGGACCAGATGACGCCAAAAGGTGCACTACAATACGTTTTCAATCTAGATGTAAAAGTGCATAGCTCCCAGTGGCTTACTAATATCGGAATGAAGAGCATTCCAGACAGCCGCAGAAGCACATCTGAAAGCGCATGATGCGGTGACCGTTTTTGTTCGATGGTCAACCAAAAGCTTCCTCTGTGAGGATGACCGGAGTTCGCGTGATCGTTTATGCTCCTTGACGTACACGAAGAGACGAGGCAGAGCTCCCCCACGTGCTTTTCGGCTCGCGCAGCGTTTTTGGTCGGCACGACGTCTAACGTATCGCTCCACGTGTGAAGCTCCCGGCATGCACGCGGAGCGGACCGTTGGACAACACGGCCAACAACCCAAAAAACACGCGTCGGAGAGAGCTCCACAGCAAAGGCAAAGATGCACCGTATGGCCCTTTAACAGACTTTCGGGGCAAGTGCTGTTAGCGAGCACCGATGAGCTGCACAGCTCAACCACAAAAACCTCCGCAATAATCAAGACGAAGGGCCACATTCCCACCTTGACGAATGTTTACTTCCCATTGGGCGGATGCATAGGAAAAAGTGGCGACGTCTCCATTGGAGACCATGGGGCAGAGCGCGCGGGCGACACGCCCCGCCAAGCGGGGAGGTCGGGCGCGAGTCGTTTCCCCGCTCAAACCAGCAATGGGCGGCAGAGGTCGCAACCGGGTACCCGATACCCGTACCTTACCCGATACCCGGCTACCCGTACCCGGCCAGGTACGGGTACGGGTAGCCATTTGCGACCCTGGTGTGGCCGGGTACGGGTACGGGTAGGCCGTGAGTCACTGGTGAGTAACCGTTTGTCACTCATTTTTGGTAGGGTACGGGTAGGGAACGGGTACCCGGCCGGGTACGGGTACCCATTTGCGACCCTGGTGCGGCCGGGTACGGGTACGGGTAAGGAATCAAAACCCGTTTGCGACCTCTGATGGGTGGTGCTCATCTTTCCATCGGTGGCCCAGAACCACGGGCGGAAATTCCACACTCACGTGGCAGATGCTTAAGCACATGCGTGGAATAACTCGCTTCGACGGCCCCGGAGGAGTGCGGGGCTAAGTTTATCCCAGAGAATTAGGGCTTGAGGGTGGGAGGGCTGAGACGCCGCTGGGGGTGGAGGAGCTCACCCTGTTTTTGATGTTCTTGGCGCGGTCGGCGTAGGTGAGCGTGTTGCGCGACTCCTCGAAGGAGATGCTCGCCGGGCTGATGTGGGCGATCATCACCGTGCGGCTGTTCCCGCCCAGGGAGTCCTGTACACAGCCGCGGTGTGGGCCGTTAGCACGATGGCGTTGTTACGCACCGGTTGGATTTGTATTGCGTACAAACCCCACGGTGCACGTTTTTGTTTTTGCTGCTTGCAGAGCATTATGGGTAAAAGTGATTTTTTTTAAAGGAACTCTGAACAACGAATAAGCTTTACGGCCTTCTGGCAAGAGTGCAGGTGTGTTAAGATGTTCAAACACTAAATAGACACCCTTCACATGGCATTAATACTGGCAAAAAAATGTCCCATAGATATAAGCGGTAACTGTTCCCTGTCTCCAAATATAGATAACAAATTTGTCCATCGGCCTCAATTGCTGTCCAGAGCAATGTTATTCGGCAGCTTTTGTGGAACAAGAATGCGTCTGCTCATGAGACTCAGAAGGCCAAAACCAGTGCTAACTTTGCGTGCTTAAACAAATTCAGGACAATTTGGCCTAGATAGCCAATAAGGCTGACGGAATAAAATAAGTATATATGAGTCAGATGCAGAGACACAGAGCCTTCTTGCCGTAATGAAGCACAGTACACGGAATAAACCTAAAATCAGAACACTACAATCAGTGCACGGCCCTGCTTCACAGAAAATCTCTTCAAGATTTCACCACAGAATTGCGCGTGAAGCCATGGTCAATGGATATCTTTTTCCATGCAGCCAAATGAAAGAAGTAACAAGAATAATGCAAACCATGTGAATTAGCTATGAAGACAAATCGACGTGTGTAGAATTGGGGTGAAGAAATAGACTGTGTCATACGTTTTTCCCCATTACATTTGTATCGTAACAAGAACGCAAGCCCGTCACATCATGCTGCATTGCTTACTCAAACCAGGTGACGTTTATCCCTACCTTCTTAAGTTAAGATAAGGTATGGATAAAGGATAAGTATAGGGTACTGTGTCATCATTTTTTATGTTTCATAAAGAACGCGGTTTACTTGCCGACGCGTTCCCGGTCACGTGGCCACCGAGTTACTGACCCGCGAGCGGCGAGGGGCCACTAACAACTGAAGCAGCGCTCCTGCACAGAGGTTAATCAGCAACCCGGATTACCAAGCGTTGCCTACAACTCAGATGTTGCTCTTCTGAAGTCTCAACTCTCACAGTCCCCAAGGGCATGGCGATGGGAGCAATTTCCTCCCTCATCGACCCTCAAACAAATGGTACTTTGTTGACATTTACCTGAGAAAATACATTGATTTATGTTCTTGATATTAATTTCGGGCCCTATTTAAACACCGTTGAAATTCTAGAACCACCAAACCCTCCTTTTGGGAAGGTCTTATATCTTGCCTTTGCATGGTCTGACAGGAGCCAGGGTCTGTGTGGACCTACCTTGATGCCCACATCGAGGTCTATACCTTGAGAGCCCACATTGAGGCCTGCCTTGTAGTCTACCCTCAGGCCCACCTTGAGGGCCCACCTTGAGGCCTACCTTGAGGGCCTACTTTGAGGCCTACCTTGAGGGCTACCTTGAGGCCTACCTTGAGGCCCACATTGAGGCCTACCTTGAGGGCACACCTTGAGGCCCACCTTGAGGCCCACCTTGAGGCCTACCTTGAGGCCCACCTTGAGGCCCACATTGAGGCCTACCTTGAGGGCACACCTTGAGGCCCACCTTGAGGCCCACCTTGAGGCATACCTTGAGGCCCACCTTGAGGCCTACCTTGAGGCCCACCTTGAGGCCCACCTTGAGGCCCACCTTGAGGCCTACCTTGAGGCCCACCTTGAGGCCCACTTTGAGGGCCTACTTTGAGGTATACTATGAGGTGTACCTTGAGGAGGCGTGTGAGCTTGCTGTCCCGGTAGTTGACGTACTGCGCTCGCCCGCCGCGCTCGCTCAGCGCGTTGATGCAGTTCCCCAGGGCGAGCAGGGAGCGGTTGATGTGCGCGCCCTCCTTCATGCGCTTTCCCCTGTTCTGTGTCTGCTCCCATCCGGCGTCAACAACAACAGCCGCTTGACGTGCCATTTGCCACTGCATCGTGACAATGGTGACGGTGATTGTGGTTAGAATAATAATGACGACGACGATTGTGATAATGATTAGTATGGTAATCATGAACATGATTATTTATGGTAACTCATCATTATGGTGGTGGTGGTGATGATCGTGTGGATTAAGCAAAGTTGCTCAAAATAAGCCTGTAGGCCTATCGTTCAAAATAGAGTGAATGATTGGATGAGTGGCCGGGTGGCTGGATTGTTGGGTGGGCACCTGAGAAGGTACCGAGCTGGCTGAGCAGTTTGCTAAGTGGCTGGGAAGGTGGATTGCTGGTTGGGTGGCTTACAAAAGGTAGTTGTATGGCTGGCTGCAGTCTGGGTGAGGTGGTTGGCTCGTTGGATGGCTGATTGTACGGGTAGCTGGGTGGCTGTCTGGCCGGATGAGTGGGTGGCTGTGGGATGAGTGACTGGATAACTGACTGCATATGTGTGGCTGGCTGGGTGGATGGATGACTAGCTGGGTGACTGAGCGAGTGGGTGGCTGAGTGTAAAAGTGTCTTGAGTGGCTGGCTGGACTGGGTGAGTGGCTGGCTGGAAGTCTGGATCGGTGATTGACCGGGCGAGTGGTTGGCTGGGTGACGGCTTTATTGGCGACCGGCTGGCCGGCCGGCTGGCCGGTGTGATCTGACGCACACCTGGGCTGCTCGCTCTGAGCCGGCGAGGTCGATGAGGAAGAGTCGCCCCGTGCGCACCTCCTGGCTGATGTCGCGCACGCGGCTGCTCTGGCGCACGGTCACCTGCAGCACGGCGTGCGAGCGCGACGACGCCTTGTTCGCCGCCGTGGGCTCCTGCGTGCGCTGCCGGTTCCCCTTCACCAGCAGCTGCATGATCTGCGCGGGCGCCGGTCGGGGAGAACGATAGCGTCTGCTCGCTTGTAGGATCGTCTAATGCAGTGAGTGGTTGTCCATCGGGCGGGGTACGTGGACCTCTGGGGGCTACGCGGCAATGTCCCAGGGGGTACGTGAGGTGATTTATAAATGTGTGAAATAATATGATACCTGAGAGGCATTGGTGAATAATCATGTATGAATCTGCCAATATAAAATAACTACGATAAGATTTTATTCCATGAGGTAACCTAGAATGATATTACAGACATTTCTGAACCCATTGATCATCAACAATGTGGTTTCCAAGAGTAACCAGTTAACGCGTACAAATGACGTCATTAATCCCGAGCGTCCGTCAATTTGTTTTTACTCGCTTGCAGTTATAAGCTAGTTAAAAACAAGGATAATTATAATTGTTCGTTATTCATATATTGATGTTGGGTCAGGCAAGGGGGTATTTGGTTGAAACTAAATTCAACTAGAGGGGGGGTACAGTAGCCAAAAAAGGTTGAGAAACACTGGCCTAAAACATATCCTCGAACCTTTGTCATTTTTCTAACAATGACGATGAGATTGTCCTGGTTAAACTGCATTCAGAGAGGATGTCACCTCACACACTGCTGAGGAAGGCAAGAGGAAACGCAACGCTACCGCCCTGGTCATGGCTCAGTGGAAGCCACTGGAGCTATGCACATTTTAAATCTAGATTGAAAACTCATTTCTTTAGAACTGATTTTTTGTGCTTAGTTTGCTTTCCTTCCCACCCGCACCTCAAATTAGCACGGTTTGACACGTACGGTGCGAAAAACGTTCAACAAATATACATCCAATTAAATGGCACCGAATGGCCTCTATTCAAAAGTGAATAGAGAATGACGGCTGCTACTTATGATGATGACAAAGTGTCTCCCCGCTCAGCCATAGGGCAGCACTCATTTTAATTGACAGCATTGAGCTCGTGTTGGAAATCCCACATTTGGTTGGCTACGTATGATGCAAAAAAATCTCAACACACATACAAGAACCCTGGTATTGTGTGCATTGTGGTGCGGTGAAGGGAGAAAGTGCGATTGGATGGGATGGATGGAGCCTGAGCCATGGACCTACCCTTGGGGAGAGAACTTGAGAGAGAGAGACAGACTTTTGATACTGGAGATTTCGCAGGTCATACTTAAATGTGGCAAAGATCAATGTGGCTTAATATCTGTATTGATTTTGACGATGCAACAGACACTGGATATAAGCACACCTTTACATAAGCACAAATGTCATAAAAGGAACACACGCTTATATTATCACTGGTGGGGGGACAGTGGGAGGCAAAGACCAACTTCTGATACAAGCACAGCTGGGCTTGCTTCCTAGAAATGTACTTATATCCAGCCTCTCCTGTCCTCCTCCAATGTGGGCTTCGGGCACCTACCCTTCAGACTTTGCTGAAACTGGCTAAGTTGAATTTATAGACTGATAGCATTTTATAACTCGGTGAGAACCATGTTAAATTACTATTCAAACTGGTATAGTATTCCGATTGCTGTCAGAGTATATTTAACATCCACTTTGAGCTAGATGGAATTTTCGGTTAATTCCCCACTTGATTATTGGACAATTGCTCCAGTCATGGTGATCGTGATAATTATTGATAAATTATAACAATGATGACAGCAACGATGTCATCAGATGGTGATATCAATGATGATGGCGGTGACGATGATTCCCGCACCTCCTTGGCATTGCTGGTGGACACCTCGGTGATGCCCGCGATCTGGATGCCCCCCTTGTGGTCCTCTCGCAGGTCCAGGAAGCCCGTGGAAGGGTTGAGCAGATCGCGGATCATCTCATTATAGATCTATACACGCACACAAAGAGCCCTCAAGGTCAGAGTCTTCTTTCGTGACCAGGCAATCTCACCAATTGCCTGGGGTGAGATGTATAAGAGCAAAACGCACAGGTTGACTGCAATGCTGCATCGTCTACCTATTTATTATACCGGTTATAATTATACCAAGGATCAATGGCCGTGTGCGCCAGCGTCGCCGTCCAAAATTTGGCAAATTTTAAACATTCCCTGCAAATTACTCCATCGCTCAATCCGCAGAGCGCAGAGCAATCCTCGCCCTCCCCTGCGCTGTGATGGTGGCGCAAACGCCGAGAATGCGACCCACCTCCAGGTATGACATGGTGACCCCGTACTTCATGTCGTCGCTCGTCGCCTCGATGGCGCGGAAGAGGTCGCTCAGCGTGCGCATGTAGATGCCGGGGTCGCGGTCCGTGCCCAGCATCGTGTAGGTCTTGCCAGCCCCTGGCAGGGGGTTAGGTGGTGGGGGGGGGGGGGGGCAGGAGAGGGACGCAGCATTCACAAGGCAGCCTCTCGTTGCAGGTGGTGGTGGTGTTGGCGGAGCGGAGTGGTCGAGGGGGGGTCTGTTTGCGTGGGGTCTGTGTGTGGGAGTGGTGGTGCGGCGGTCAGCGCGCTGCTGCGCTACGAACCCGGCGGGCCCGAGTTTGATTCCCGCTCACGGCCACCAACACCAGTGACCATTATCTGAACCGGTCCTGGGCATCCTCTAGGTCGACTCAGCCTTAAATGAATACCTGTTGCAGTGTGTAAACATTGCCACTAAGGAGACAAAGGTGGCCGGGCGTGGTGCTGGCCACCCACCCCCTCATGTAGCGTTCCGGCCTTCATAGGTGCTCGCTAACAGCACTTTCCCCAACAGTCTGCTCAGGCTATACGGGGGATCTTCGTCTTTGTTGTGTGGATAGGTGGGGAGCGGTAGTGTAGTGGTTGGCGCACTAAGCTATACATTCGGCAACCCGAGTTCGATTCCCGCTCACGGCCGACACCAGTGACCATTATCTAATCCGGTCCTCCCCTAGGTCGACTCAGCCGCAAACGAGTACCTGGTGCAATATGTAAACATGGCCACTAGGGAGACAAAAGCTCGCTAACTGCACGTGCCCCAACAGGCTTGGTGTGTTATACCAACTGTGTGTGTGTGTAATACGTCTGAAGTACCGGTGAAGACGCTTGACGCCGAGGTTGAGGCACACGTATATTTATTTCACAATACGACAGTGGGCATATACACACTCGAGGGGGTATCGGCCCCCTCACCCGTATAACTCGGGATACACCCCTAGCTAACTCTGTCCTAGCCCCGAATCCTCCACTAATGGGCTAGGGGAGGCTAACTGGCCCGACACTGGTAAGTCGGGCCCGGTACCCGGAGTTCCAGACCAGCTCTTACAAGAGCACCGGCTCTGGCTTTCGGGACCACGCCGCTGGCTCAGTCCTGTCCGGCCCTGAAAAGGACATCGAACTAGGGGAGTCCAGGGCTCTATCTAAGACGTCTTCAGTCTTCTTCCCTTAGCTTAAACATAACTGACTCGAGCCCTTTGAAACATCCCCTTTTATACCCAACCCCTCCCTGAGGGGTGGGGCCCCGGGGGATCATAACGTTCGAACCAGCCCCCCCCCAGGGTGTCTGGCTCGGACGTCGTAGAGGGCACCTCCTCGTGCACTTACGTAGCCCCGCCCACTGTGTTTGTTTTCCATAGGCTGCCATGCATAACGGGCCCTCTCTTTAACACCCCTACATCACCCCCCCCCCCCGCATAGCTTGCAGCCGTCCCGGCTGCCAACATACAAAAATGACAATAAAAGTGCATTTACACCTTGACCGCGCGTGTGCCTCACTATTTTTCAACAATAACAAGAACAGCAACAAGAACACAACAAAATGCAACAGCAAGAAGAGAAAACAACCCGACGCACCCCCCCTTGAATAAATACGAATTCCGTAAAAAAAACAACCTATATACAATTTGCAGGGAACCCACCATACACACAACACCAGGTGAACCCAACGTATGTACATTTCAATGGGCAGGGAACACACCACCCACACAACACACGATGAACACAACCTATGTACACATCTTCCGGCCTCATAACAGTCTGCGCATTTTTGCGCGCGTCCTTGCCGCGGGGCCCTCACACGGGGTAACCCCGGGTGGCGGACCGTCAGGTGGCAATTGTCCGTCCCGGAGTGAGTCCTCATCCGATGCCGCGCGACCGTCGGTATCCCCAGGAGGAGTGGTCGGGTGTGAGCCCGTCAGTCCTGATGCACCTGGAGGTGGCACGGCCGGCAAGGCATTAGGTGAGAACGACGGAGACGGACCCGAATGAGTCGGTCGACCCCCCACACGTTTGGCCACGCATGTGTGAGGTGGGTTTGTGTACCGCAACGAAGGGTTTTAACCTAGAGGGGTGCACGAACCATCGCCGCTTCCCCCATTTAATGCGCACGCACTGTGGTCGCAAAACTTCGACCACCTCCACAGGGCCCCGCCACGGCCGCACGAGCTTAGAGGAGGTAGCCAGTGGCACTTGGGGACAGTGCAGCCATGCCTTGTCCCCCGGCTTCCACTGTATCATGTGCGCCCGACCCAGCCTGAGGCGCTCATTCGCCTTTTGACGGAGGTCCGAGTTTAGCATTGCAGCATCCCGCGCCTCTGTTAATTTGGCCAGATTAAATTTGACGTGGTCAGCCAATTTAGTTTTCCCTTGCGGCTCGGGGATCTGCAGCTGAGCGCGAACAGGCGGATCGGGTTCGCGACCGTACATGAGGTAAAAGGGGGAAAATCCCGTAGCTGCATGGGGTGCCATCCGGTATGCCGCCAAGACCCCTTGAATATGCAGGTCCCAGTCAGTCTGTGAGTCCGAGACCTGCTGTGACATCATTGACGTAATGGTGCGATGCAGGCGCTCGACCATCCCGTCAGTTTGCGGGTGATACGGGGAGGTACGAATTTTCTTCGTGCCTAGGAGGTCACAGACTTGTTTGAGTAATTTACCGGAAAAAGTTTCTGCCCTGGTCGGTCAGCAGCCGCTCCGGAGCACCTTTGTCCAGGACGTATCCCTGAACAAAGGCCTCCACGATGGCTGCTGCCGACTGGTTGGCAAGGGGCCAGGCCATAGGCCAGCGTGTAAAATACTCGACACCAGTCAACAAATACCTATTGCCCCTGGGGGTGGCGGGAAATGGGCCCAAAATGTCCAGCGCGACAAGCTCATTTATTCTGGACACTTTGATCGATTGCAAGGGCGGGTTAGACTCCCGCGCCGGCGGTTTCCGTTGCGCACACCGAGGGCATGATCCCAATAGATCCCCAACATCCCTCGTCATGCCAGGCCAAAAAAAATCAAGTTGTAGCAGTGCAAGAGTCTTTTGGGTCCCCAGGTGTAATAGGCGCTCATGCGCGGCCCACACCACCTTGCCTCGCAACCCAGAAGGGACCACCAGCCGATGTCGCTGGGATTTCCCGTCCCAATGCATCAGCAGACCTTGCACCATTTCCCATGCATCCGAATCACCCTTCACACGCTCAGCACCCCCGACGCGACGACGCCACCCGAGGAGGGAGGTATCCTCCATCTGGAGGCGCCCCCATTCAGTGACGGGCAACCCCAACAGGGAATCTCTTCCCTGTTGTTCGATCGAATTAGTAATTAATGTTTCGTCGTCGTCGGTGGCTGCCAAGACCTGGAACCGATGCGTCCCCTGAAGGCCTGCAACGTCCCGACCCCAGGAGGCATGCACATTCCGAGGTGGTTGGCATGCGCGACAGAGCGTCCGCATTCGTATGGCGAACGCCCTTACGGTAGGTGGTTTCAAAATCAAAGTCCTGGAGAACCTCCAACCATCGAGACAACTGTCCCGATGGTTGTTGAACTCGCAGGGCATACTGTAGTGCCGCATGATCTGTGCGGACGGTGAAATGCCGACCGTACAGATATGGGCGATACTGTTGGATGAAATAGACAATTGCCAACAGTTCCCTACGGGTTACACAATATCTTTGCTCCGCAGGAGACAACACCCGACTACCGTACGCGACCACCCGTTCCACGCCATCAACCACCTGGGAAAGCACACCCCCAATACCCGTGTTGCTCGCATCGGTGTCGAGCAAAAAGGGCTTAGAAAAATCGGGGTAAACCAAGGGAGGGGCTTTTACCAGGGCGTCCCGAAGGGAGCAGAAAGCAGCCTCCTCCTCTTGACACAAGTGGAACCGAACCCCTTTAGATGTTAAAGCGTGCAGGGGTTTGGCAATTGTCGCAAAATCAGCGACGAACCGTCGGTAATACGACGCGAACCCAATGAAACTCCTGACCTCTCCCACCGAGGTGGGAGTCGGCCAGGAGCTGACACACTGCGTTTTGGCGGGATCGGTAGCAATACCTGAGCGTCCCACGATGTGCCCCAAATAACGCACCGAATCGCGCAACAAATGGCATTTTTGGGGTTTGAATTTCAAATTAGCAGCCCGCATCTTTAGGAAAACCGCCCGCAACCTCTGGAGATGTTCGTCAAAAGTTTTACCAAAGACGATAACGTCATCCAAATAAATGAGGCACGACTCCCATTGCAATCCAGCCAAAACCAATTCCATCAAACGCTGGAAAGTTGCCGGCGCTGAGTGTAAGCCCATCGGCAACCGGTTGAATTGGAACAGGCCGTGCGGTGTACGGAAAGCAGTTTTAGGCTTTGAATCATCGTCCAGAGGAAGCTGCCAGAATCCCGAAAGTAAATCGAGTGTGGAAAAGAATCGCGCTCCCGCCAAGGCGTCCAGCGATTCATCCATCCGAGGGAGCGGGTATGCGTCGGCAACCGAAATTTTGTTAAGGCGCCGAAAATCAACGCAAAACCGCAACGATCCGTCCTGCTTTTTAACCAGGACGATCGGCGCTCCCCAAGGGCTGGTGGAAGGAGAAATGATGTCGGCGGCCAACATGTCATCAATAGCCGATTTGACATGGTCCTTTTCGGCGGGACTCAACCGAAACGGATTTTGGCGAATTGGCGCGCTGTCACCCGTGTCAATATGGTGACGCAGCAGGTGAGTACAACCCAAATCGTATTTATTCCGACTAAAAACGTCGGAAAATTCCCGCAGTAGTGTTTTAAGTTGTTGATGCTCTGAATCTGACAGGTCCGTCGATCCCGCACAAAGCGCCTCGAGCCACCCTTCATCGCTGTCCGAATGTGGTCGCGGCGCAGGGACAACGCTGACGTGATTTGCGACGGTTTCCTCACATGGCACCGGCGTTGCGTGAGCAAGCACGGTTCCCTGTGGGACCACCACCGTCTGTGAGCCCACATTGAGGACCGCGATGAAGGGTTCACCGTCCCCTCTTACTATGGTCTGGGCCGGAAGTAAATGAGGTCCACTAACCCCGGCCCTAGACGGCCCCAGCAGAACCCCTTGGGCCGCAATACCCTTAGCGAAGGGTCGCCGAAGTTTCAAGGGAATCAACATTTGTGCCCCCGGAGGGACGCGCACCGTTCTCTCTACGAATGCCGGCACCGTCGCGAACGCCGTCCGAGTCGTAACGGGTGATGGCAAAAAAGCCATGCGTCTGCCCGACGGGAGCTCAATGCATCCCTGGTCGATTAATATCCGTCCCCAGCAGGCACGGAACCGCCAGCGAGGAGGAAACAAAAATCGGCCCAGACAATTTAATTTCCCCAACACAAATTTGGGCCCGAATTTGTCCGATGATGCCAAGTGAGCCCCCGTTAGCCGCATAGAATGGTACGTTAACAGGCATCAAAGGACGGCTCTGGACAGGGAGAATATTGTATATTAACTCCGAAATAATGGTCGCCGATGCTCCCGTATCGACCAGGATGCGCACTTCAACCCCGTCGATGTGCCCCACAACGACCGACGACCCCGATGATGCGGCTACCACACGATCGGCCAGCACGGACCACTGGCCGGGTTCGATATGAGTACCCAGAGTGGTGCGTGATGGTGCGATGGTGCGCGATATCGGCCCCCCTCTCGTTGCGGTGTTTGAGTGCGTGACGGGCGTGTGCGTGGGCCAAACATGTGGGGTGCCGCGACTCGCCAGGTTATGATGGTGGAGCTTGTGATGAGGCCCGTCGTCCCGTTGAGGTGTCGTCCCGCGCTGACGAGGAGAGCGGCACCCCGAGGCGACGTGGCCCCGGACGCCGCAGTTAAAACACCGCGGGAGCGCCGTCGGAGGTGACGGATGGTCGGAATGGCCCGACCCGTCCCGGCCCGACCGTGCTCCCGTCGCCTGTTGCCGTCGGTGGTCGACGGCGTAGAGCTCCTCCGTCGGAAGGGTGGCTGCAGCCACCGCACGCCCCGCCGATGCCCTGCTGGCTTTCCGCCGGAGCGACAGGAGGTTTGCGTGGAGGAGCCGCGCCGCCTGGAGCGATGTCATTTCCGCGTCCTCCTGCGCGACGACAGCGATGTCAAGGTCGTCTGCCAGGAGGAGGATTTTCTCCGTGACCATAGCATCCACGCCGTCGTCGTCCATATGAGGGAAGGCCGACTTAGCCATCGCCAGGAGGCTCGTCCGGTATGCTAGGGGCGACTCCTTCTCACCCCGCTTGCGGTCGTAAAATTGCTGTCGGCATTCGGCTGATGGTCCATAGACCCCGCCCAGCAGCTGTAGCGCCATCGGTAACGTAGACCGCTTCTCTCTCGGCGCCGATGTGAGTGCGGCGAGCGCGTCGCCGTCGAGGAGCGCCGGCAGCGCACAGAGAGCCTCCTCATCGGACCATTTTGCCATCTCCTGATGGGCGAGGAAACGTCGGCGAAACCCGGCCCAGTCTCCCTCCGCGCCGATGAACTCCTTCAGCGGGGGCAGTCTCTGATGAAGCGCAGCGGTTGTTGTAGACTCCCGCAGGCAGATGTCACCACCACTCGGCTGTGCGTCGGTGCGAACGGCCGATGGGATCGCCTGTCGCGGTTGTGATGACGCACCCTCCGGCGGTGATGACGCTGCAGCTCCAGCGACGGCGATGTCGGAGCGGATGTTCAGGCTGGCCACGCCCTGAACAGCTGTAGCGTCGATGGCGGGAATTTCAAATTCGGACTGCTCCGAAATGGCGGGAAGGCGCCCTGGTCGTTGGCTCGCCTTGCCCCGTGTTGAAAAACCGGCCCCCAATCGCGTGATGGTCTCCAGCGTGGCGGCAGCGGCATACAGCAGCTCCGCCAGCCTCCCGTGAGCCAGCCGTAACGCGTCTGACTGCGGCCCCTCTTCATTTCGATGCCCCGGTAAGGAGGCGTCAGGCCCCGGCTGCACCATGTCTTGTGGAGCCGTCTCGGGCTCGACGATCTCGGCAGTGTCTTCCTCCTGCGGTACTTTTGCCCGCGCTGTTTTCCGCGTGTCCATGTTCGAATTACTTCTGACACCAGTTGAAGTACCGGTGAAGACGCTTGACGCCGAGGTTGAGGCACACGTATATTTATTTCACAATACGACAGTGGGCATATACACACTCGAGGGGGTATCGGCCCCCTCACCCGTATAACTCGGGATACACCCCTAGCTAACTCTGTCCTAGCCCCGAATCCTCCACTAATGGGCTAGGGGAGGCTAACTGGCCCGACACTGGTAAGTCGGGCCCGGTACCCGGAGTTCCAGACCAGCTCTTACAAGAGCACCGGCTCTGGCTTTCGGGACCACGCCGCTGGCTCAGTCCTGTCCGGCCCTGAAAAGGACATCGAACTAGGGGAGTCCAGGGCTCTATCTAAGACGTCTTCAGTCTTCTTCCCTTAGCTTAAACATAACTGACTCGAGCCCTTTGTACATCCCCTTTTATACCCAACCCCTCCCTGAGGGGTGGGGCCCCGGGGGATCATAACGTTCGAACCAGCCCCCCCCAGGGTGTCTGGCTCGGACGTCGTAGAGGGCACCTCCTCGTGCACTTACGTAGCCCCGCCCACTGTGTTTGTTTTCCATAGGCTGCCATGCATAACGGGCCCTCTCTTTAACACCCCTACACGTCTTTAAACACAAATAACATGCATGTGGGTATGTGGGGACCAAGATGTTGTATATGTCCGTGTATTTGTTTATCTGTATGCCTGTCTCTGTGTCTATATACTCTCTGTCTTTGTCCTACTCAGTATCTCTGCCTGTCTCTGAGTCTCTGTCTGTATCTGTCAGTGTCTCTATGTACGTCTCTTAGTATCTTTATTTTTTATTTTTATCTCTCTCTCTCTGTCTATCTTTCTCCGTGTATTTCTCTGTGTCTATCACTTACTTTGAGTTGAGTTTGAGTTGTGTTTATAACTTGAGGAGGGGTCTCTCTGTGACACCCGTGTCTCCGTGTTCGGCCCCCTCTCTCTGTGCATCTCCCGGGCCTCTGTTCACTTAGCGGGAAGACTTCCACGCGCCCGTGTGTACATTTACGCGTGAGTCTGCGTGTCCGTGCGTCGTACCTGTGGGTCCGTAAGCAAACACTGTGGCGTTGTAGCCGGAGATCACGCCCTCAATGAGCTCCTTTGTTGTCGCCAAGTACACTTCATCCTGGTGAAACACAAACGAATAATTGCAGCCTGAAAACTAATGACTGTGGAGCTGTCTAACGACCGTTTTGTTTGATTTGACCAGGCCCACTGAGCTGTCGAGCTCTTTTTCAGAAGCCACCCAGCCACAAATGATAGCTCAACGAAGCGGCGTGGAAATGTATCGCAGCCAAATACTCTAAACGCATGTTGATTCTAAATGTGGAGGAGAAAAAACGGAGAAAGATCCACGTGACCAAGGGGAGGACATGCAAACTTCAAATATGCAGCAGGCGTCGGGGTCAGGATCTAACCCACGACCTCCTGTATTCCAGGCGAGGTAGTTAACATGTCGCTACTGCAGCACCCCAACCACTTCAATTATCCACAACCACTTCAACGAGCAATGTAGTGAAGCACTGTGGGTAATATATTTTATTTGTTATTCCGCATAGCCACGTAAAAAAAAATCAGTCCATCGGCGACCAACGTTCCAGACGCAAGTCAATCAGTAACATCCCTATAAGCACACACATTCTCAGGAGTGGCCTCGCTTCTCTAGCTCTCGCCTGAAGAGTCGGGCTTGCCAAACAAACACTGCCAGTTTACCAGATGGTCTACCAGATGGCCTGACTGGCAAACACATGGCACTCCCATATATTGTATAAGGCAAGCATTCAGGGGACAAGCACGACCTAAACGTACACGTAATTATTTACATGTTTCTTCGTAAAAATATGCTTTTCAAAAGCGGATGTGTTTAAGGCCCCCACCATAGGAACATGGAATTTCCATCGCCGGTTCAGAGCTACCAATGGAAGGGACCACCACCATCCCGCCGCTCAGTTGAGGAGGGAGACGATTTGACCTGAATCTCGTGGGTTGTTTTAAAATAACAACAGCAAAAGAAAAACACACAAAACCTTGCGAAACCTCCCCAAAAGAAAACTACGGGAGAATAATAAGAATAATAAATCGCAGTGAAGATTGTGGAACTATTTTGTTTAAGAGCCCCACGCGGCATTGAGAGTGAAGCCCATGAAGAGCCGCACGCCAGCGCAGCCGCGGTTGTTGGCAGAGTGGCGGCGACCGCTGTGTGCACGGCCGGGAGCTATGATCACAGCAGGAAAGAATAACAGGACCGGCGGCACACAAAGCCACCGGAGGAGCAACCTCCCCCGCAACTTTTCCCGCGGTCGGACACGTTCGTAACAGGGATCGCAGCACCGCAGGCCTGAAAGGGACGTTTGCTTGAAGGCGGAGTGCCCGCAAGAGAATTTGTCTCTTTTTTATTTGTCTTTTTTACCAGGTGTGGTCCACTAACATGTAGCTCTGCTTCAGAAGCGACCAGGCAATCACAAATGATAGCTCAACGAAGGGGCTTGTTGCGTGGAAATTTCGAGCAGCCAAATGCTCGAGGCGCGCATTGTTGATCTTAAATGTGGAGGGGGGAAAAAACGGAGGACCCGGAGAAAAATTCACTCGACCACGGGCAGAGAGACATGCAAACTCGAAATATACAGCAGCAGGCGTCAGGGTTCGGGATTGAACCCACGAGCTCCTGTACGCCAGGCGAGGCAGATGACATCTCACGTGAGCATGTCATGCTTATTTGTTATGTTGTAGTAATTATATGATGGCTTTATTAATGAAGTGTAGTATAAAGACACTGCGTCATTGCATCTACTAAACGTGCCATATTGGGAAGCAAAATCTGCACCAATCCCCTCGAACCCCCCCCCCCCCCCACACCTTCAAAATCCCACACTGACTAGATTGGTGAAGTATGGTCAAACAATCCGCAATGACCAACATGCCATGTAGAGGTGGTCATCCAGCAGTAGACTGACAATGGGTTATACATGTATATGACGTGTATTTAAAAGTGTGATGCGTACATAAATATGCATTGTCATGCTTGTGTATATGCAGGGTGCTTCAAAAAATGTTAATACTTCTGAGAATTATTATTTTCAGTACCACAAGAAATGGGCCTCCACGTGGAGAAGATTCCAGGCATATGTTGATAATGATGGCGAACAAGTGGAGACTCTTTAACTTTTTGAAGCTATTAATATACATTTACATCATGGGACCTCCTTTGCCAGGACCAAAATATGCGAATAGGTTTTCCCCTTTTTTCTGGCAACTAAACAGGTGTTAAGATGTTAAAACACCAAACTGAAACCTTTTACAATGAATCATGTCTGCATTAACCACAATGCTTGTGGTCAGAATGCAAAGAAAAACACATACTCCGATAATATATGCATTGTGTTTGAAACTGATTGGGCCACACCAGAGGACGCCAAAATGTAGACATTGATTTTTGAAACTCGCACGCACCATGAGTGAGGACCCATTAACCCCGTTCACAAATTCCAGTTGCAAGTCGACCACCAAAATGAAACACGCTCATGTATTATAAAGTAAATCGGTAACATAAGGTTTGAAAGAAAACTCAACATCGGAACACATCATAATAATCATAGCACGTGACTAGAAATTCCTTTTGCCAGCGCTCAAATTCCGAGTCTATTTTAGGACGTCTCAAATGCAACTTTAATGGAAGGAAAGGTTAAAGTAAGGGATAGCGTGCCAGAGAGACGTTGCATGGGCCCCAAACTCTGAAGGCGACGCGAGCCGGACCGCCCGCCCTTGTTTCCACAGTGCAGACCCCCGTGACGGGGGTCCTCGGTTGCCGAGTAACTTGACATTGCCGGCATGGGCCCCCCTTTGTTGCGAGAGGGCCTATCTGGACGCACCTGTGCCGTTAAACCACCAGCCCGGCCTGGGTTCGCTCGGCGTCGGCCGCCAAAACCGACTTTTAATTTACCACACTAATATTGTGCGCTCATTTTAAGAGCGCTTTATATTAATCGTGCGATGCAGCCGGAACGGTGAGCCACAGTGAGCTTGCAATGCAGAGGTCGCCGGTTCGATTCAATCTCCCGGTGAGGAAGTTGAAACAAAGGCCAAGTTTTCTAAACCCCCCCCCCACCCGCCTCTGCCCACCCAGCAGCATAAATGGGTTCACCATGGGCAGGGATGTACTTTGAACTTCTTTCGCACCGTACGTAGCCAATCGTCCTCATCGGAGGTGCGTGTGTGGTGGGGTAAAGTGTGGGTTATCTTGCCTCTTCCATCCCCCCCCGTGTACTGAGCCAGCCTTCAAAGGCGTATTTTCATTAAGTTTGTTGTTTTTAATCTGTAATTGTGGAATGCTTTGATGTCGTCTGCAGGTCGAGTCTCCTTAGCTCAGTGGGCTTCACTGTAAGAAATAAACTTCTGATTTAGAGGTGCTCGCTCACAACACTTGGCCCAAGAGTCTGCTCAAGCTATATCGGCGGGGGGGGGGGGGATGGAGGATCTTAGTCTCGTCTCTGGTGAAGTGGCTACTACACTGCGCTTCGCACTCAATGACCCCAATTTGATTCCCAGCGACGACTCACAATACTGGCAAGTGATATCCGCACTGGTGCTCCCCCCCCACCGCCTCTAAGTCCACTCAGCTTTAATGGGAACCTGGTGTAGTGTGTAAACATCAGCACGAGGAAGACAAAGGTGGTGCCAGGCATTCTGATAGCCACTACACCCTGTTGTGATTGGTGCCGGCCTTCGTGGATGCTCTCTCTAGCCGCCCTTGGCTCCAGAGTCAGTATCGCTAAGTGTGGGTATATTTGTGTGTGTGCGTGTGCGCGCACGTTTGTACAGAACATTCAGAGTTTCTGCTCACTTAATCTTCACCAAAGCAAAGCATCGGCAGCCCGAAAAACCCCCAAAGATTTCACGCGGGCACGCGCGCGGGTTTAACGCTCCGCATCAGATGCCCTTCACCGAGTCACAATCGATTCCACAAGGTGGAAAGAACGCTGGGTGTTTGACCAGACCGTTACAATGCTGCTCCAAACCTAGTTTGTAAAACATCCGCTATTGTAGCTGTGTCTTTGCCGTGCTTGTGTAACAACATTGCAGAGGCGTGCAGTAAACCATCGCTGCGGGGGGGGAGGGGGGTGCTGTGTTTGCCTCCCTGAGCCTCCCTAGACATTGGCAGTGGACTGTCCAACGCACGAGCAAGTCGGATGTGCAGCACGGCCTTTTGTGCGCGAGCACGCGTTCCACAATCTGGATCGCAATTGCTCCGTGAGACTTTCTCTCCTTCTCATTCTTCTCCGTCTCCCGTCTGTAAACGTCGCTGTGCTCAGCCTGCACGGCGCGCGTGCAGTCACAGCGGGAATCGCGGTCATGGTTACGCGGGGCGAGCATCAACATCAACACGGGCGATCACGGCGTTGGGCACCAAGGCTCGCGCCAGCGACATCTGAGCGTTGCATCAGCAACTTTCCGTGGTTTTTTTTAATTCACCCTCGGCATTTAGAATCGACGTGCGTTTAGAGTATTTGGCTGCTGTGATTTTCCACGTGATAAGCCACATCGCTGAGCTATCGCTTGTGGCCAGCTCGCTTCTGACAAAGAACGATAGAGCTCGGTAGGCATTACCTGGTGAAATAACAAAAAAATGTTTGAATAGTTTTCCACTGTTCGGTTAAAATTATTCATTTATGATCACTGCAAAGTTGTCAACAAGGAAACACGTTGACTCTTCGACCAACTGGCATGAGTAGAATTATCGAGGAATTGTGGGTGGAGCGGCAGTGTTTGTGTTTGAGTATAAACATTAGCAGTGTTTGAAATGCTAAACATGCATTAGTGGTGCAGTGGTTGACACACTGTACAGTGAATCCGGTGACCTAAGTTTGATTCCTGGCTCAACATCACGAGTGAGTCATCTCTGAACGAGTCCTCTTTAACCACTCACAATGGCCAGCATGGGCAAGTAGGATATCAATAAAAAAAACCATGACTGACCAAGCATGGGGAAGATGGTATCCATCGACGATCTGTAGATTATTGTAACGGAATTAAATGCGTAACAACAAAACGGAATAAAAGGCACGAGGTAGGTGAGACAAACACCCCCTAACAGACTCGCCTACGGTGAATGAGCCACGTGAGCCATAGTTCCTGACTTTACCAGAAGCAGCAGATCAAAAAAGAAAAGTTTTCTATTCTTGTTCTGTTCCTTTTAAAATCCGCCAACCGTGCGTTCGTTCGGCCGCACGTTCTTCTCGTGCAGCCTCGCGTGAAGCTACCACGCTGGACCTTCTTCGCGAAACAATGCGGGGGGGGGGAAAACTAAAATAATCGTGGGACGGGGTGAGCGTGGACACGTGAGGGCACAGCGTCACGCGGCCCCAGGCACGCGTGGCCGCGCACACAGACGCCGCGCGCGCCCAAAGACAAAGGTGCCTCCCGTATGGCCTTCGACAGATTGTTTGGGGAAAGTGCTGTTGGCGAGCAACTGTAAAGGCCGGAGCGGCACACGAGGGGGTGGTGGGGTCAGCACCACGGCCCGCCTGACTGCGTTTGTCTCGCCAGTGCTGATGTTTTACATACCGTAATAGGTATTCATTTAAGGCTGAGTCGATCTAGGGGAGGACTGATGCAGATATTCGTCATGGTTAGCTACGTAGAGTGCGAAGGAAGTTCAACATGCATAGAATAATATCTCACAATACTGGAAGAGGGGAGAGCTACATGTAAAGGCACTGGTCTCGAGTGGTTTAATATTGTTATTATTTTTGTGAAACTGACAATGAACAAGAGGATGGAGCCGGGGAAAACAGGACAGGTGGCAACCCTCGTGAGAAGCCAACAGGGTGAGAGTGGATCGAGAGGCCTCACCTGCGTGGCCGTGCAATCGAACGCGACGTCAAACATGTAGGTCTTCTCGCGAGACCGGTTTGCCCGGAGGATGTCGTCAGGGTCTTCCATGGGATCCATGAGCACCACCATCTGCCGAGCACCACCACAGACCGCACGTGATGTCATCTTCAGCAACGTCGCAGAACCTCAATGCCATCATCATCGTCGTCGTCCCCAACGGCATCACCAACATCAGCAACGTCGCAGAACCTCAATGCCATTATCATCATCGTCGTCGTCATCCCCAACGGCATCACCAAACATCAGCAACGCAGCCATCAACGTTACCATCGTCAACGTTCAAAACATGCTTTACCAAAATTGTCTTCGGTCCAGTGGCGTAGTCAACTAAATTAGGTGGCGCCCCAATAAATGATTTGTCTCGAACGGTCTGTCGCACCTCGACTGTAATATATCATGGCTCCTCTTGCCTAATCACAGTGTTACGCTCACGGTCTCGAACATTTAACGATGTAGGGGGCACTCTGTTTTAAATACGTTTTTATTATTTTACATTGTTAAAAACGTATCTCGTGGTGGTTGTCAAGGGGGCCCCAACTCATAGCTTTGGCTACCGGGGGGCGGGGTGGTAAAGGACGCCCTACCCATGCTAGTCACGCTATTGCTTCAGTGTCATCAACATTATCTCGCTTGCAATGAATCGCCGTTATTTTACAATCAACACGTGTGTACGATACGCAAACATGAACAACATAATAAAAATAAAACATAATAAAACAATTCTCACGACGTTTCGGCCACAACGCAAGCAGCCGTCCTCAGGTGAAAACCAGGTCCGTCGAGGCGACAGAGTCTGAATGAAACAGCACACGGGCTTAGAGCATATATATAAGCTGGGCGCATTGACAAAGGAATTTGCATATCAACAGGAATTTAGCATATTTATGGGAAATGCAGGAATGTAATTAGTACTGCATATGCATGTGCATTATGCAGGATTAACAGCATCAAAGGGAGCTGCAGCTACTGCTGCTGCAGCAGTTGCTGCTGCTGCTGCAGTTTCTGCTGCTGCTGCAGTTGCTGCTGCTGCTGCAGTTGCTGCTGCTGCTGCACTTGCTGCTGCTGCTGCACTTGCTGCTGCTGCTGCACTTGCTGCTGCTGCTGCAGTTGCTGCCTTATCCATTTTAATATAACACTATGTATTATTCTACCCACCCTAATGTGTATCATACTGCTATATGTTTACTGTACAATTACGACACCATACATTACTCTGCACACTGCACCATGCCAGTGAGTGGAACGCGGTCTGAAAGTCACCGTTAACGTGAACACAATCAGTTAAGATCCGAAATGGTTTATTACGTCCTTCCAATGATTGCTAAGCCAGAATCCATCTTCTCGGTTGAAATTGTCTCTGTGTTTGTATATGTGGATCGCCTCATGAACGAATCTCTCATGATAGCCAGATGGCTTGCAGAGAACCTCTGTCTTGGAGAAGTCAATGTCATGTGAGCCCACTGAATTGACTGAATTGACTTCTCCAAGACAGAGGTTCTCTGCAAGCCATCTGGCTATCATGAGAGATTCGTTCATGAGGCGATCCACATATACAAACACAGAGACAATTTCAACCGAGAAGATGGATTCTGGCTTAGCAATCATTGGAAGGACGTAATAAACCATTTCGGATCTTAACTGATTGTGTTCACGTTAACGGTGACTTTCAGACCGCGTTCCACTCACTGGCATGGTGCAGTAAACATATAGCAGTATGATACACATTAGGGTGGGTAGAATAATACATAGTGTTATATTAAAATGGATAAGGCAGCAAGTGCAGCAGCAGCAGCAAGTGCAGCAGCAGCAGCAAGTGCAGCAGCAGCAGCAAGTGCAGCAGCAGCAGCAAGTGCAGCAGCAGCAGCAAGTGCAGCAGCAGCAGCAACTGCAGCAGCAGCAGCAACTGCAGCAGCAGCAGAAACTGCAGCAGCAGCAGCAACTGCTGCAGCAGCAGTAGCTGCAGCTCCCTTTGATGCTGTTAATCCTGCATAATGCACATGCATATGCAGTACTAATTACATTCCTGCATTTCCCATAAATATGCTAAATTCCTGTTGATATGCAAATTCCTTTGTCAATGCGCCCAGCTTATATATATGCTCTAAGCCCGTGTGCTGTTTCATTCAGACTCTGTCGCCTCGACGGACCTGGTTTTCACCTGAGGACGGCTGCTTGCGTTGTGGCCGAAACGTCGTGAGAATTGTTTTATTATGTTTTATTTTTATTATTTTATTACTTCCCTTCTACGTGACTTTACCGAAAGAACCAAGAAGATGAATCCCTGCAGTCACGAAAGCTTTAAATCGAAAAATGAACAACATAGATGCACAACGTAGGCTAAAATACATTTTTGCTGTTGCTGAAATCAATTAACAGGTTTAGAAAAAAACAATATATACCTTGAAAATTTATTTTCTATATGTGTGCATTGTGCAGGGAAGCAGTGGCTTGGACATTTACACGACTGCCAGTAAAATCTTGACTTCAAGCTTTCGTGACTGCAGGAATTCATGTTATTTGGGTCTGTCGGTAAAGTCACGTAGATAGGTTCAAAGAAAATAACAAAGAACTACGACGGTTCGATCGCAACACAAGCGGTCGTCATCAGGTGGAGAAGAAAGAGGGGTTAGCCTCTAAAGGCAAACTGTTTATAAAGGTTTAAAATGGGCGGAGGCGCTTATGTTAATGTCAGGGATTAAAAACGGTCGGCTGCTACGTGCAGGATGGAGGTGATGTTAATGTGATGGGGACATTGCTGAAATGGCAACATTACAGAAGTTGGGTACACACTGAGCAATCACTGGAAGGACGTTATCAACCAGTTTCAGTCGTAACTGACTGTAATGTTGCCATTTCAGCACTATCGGTTGGTCACCAGTTTTTTAACCCCCCATCACATTAACATCACCTTCTGCACCCTACGTGTAGCAGCCCACCGTTTTTAATCCCTCTCATTAACATAAGCTCCTCCGCCCATGCTGCTCCAGGACCCTTGTGCCCCGTCCACTCCGTTCTGACACTTGGGCTACGCTCATTTGAAGCCCCCCTTTTCCTGAAAACGACCGTTTGTGTTGCGATCGAAACATTGTAGTTTTTTTAAATGTATTTGAACCTATCTACGTGACTTTAAAAACAGTTTGCCTTTAGAGGCTAACCCCCCTTTCTTCTCCACTTGATGGCGGCCGCTTGTGTTGCGATCGAAACGTCGTAGTTTTTGGTTATTTTCTTTGAACCATCTAAGTGACTTTACCGAAAGACCCAAAGAATACGACTGCCAGTCACCCAGCTTCAACCCTTTACCATGATCCACAATATCATTGTAATCGGTATCTGAACCTGTGCGGGGCCTCCACGAGGTCAACTCAACTCCGTCCTAAACGAGTACTCGGTGTGGTAGGCTCAGCCCCAACGCTTGATAGATAAAGGTCATCTTGGTCGATGGCAGGGCAGCACCGAAGACCAAAGTAAAATTCTACCAAAATAAGGTTGGATTGGTGGAAAACAAAACCACCCTTTAATATCACTCCCAAAAAAAACCGTGCAAAAACGCCCACTTAATCCGTGAGTGCCCCTGTTTCTCTATTGTGCTGTGAGCCCTGGCTGGCAGGTGTTTCAAAAGAGGTCGCAGGTCACTTTTCGCGATCGATGCGGCTGAAGAGGCCCCCGCAGGCGGGAACGGGGGGGGGGGTGCGTCCGTTATTCTGTAGATGGCCACTTCGAGTGGCCACGGAATCGCTCCCACGGCGGGGTTCAAAGAGGACGGCGAGGAGCTCGCCTCGCCTCACCTCTGCTGCTGCTGCTGCTACAAGTAGCCTCGCAGCAGCGCCGTGGCGTCAGCAGCAGGAGCAGCTGCCACGGGGCGGTTTGCGATGATCAATAAAACAGGGCGCACGGACTCGGATTGGTATGCGACGGCGGTTGTGCATAAGAGCCGTCTGACACTGGACGGAAGCCTTTTAATTAAACGTGAAGCATCTGCCCGGTAGAAACCGCCACGGTCCCTGGACAGCTGGGAGTATTTTATTAATACACACACACGCGCACCACTACTGTATTCCTGTAAACCGGTAAAAAACGTGCTGCAGAGCCAAATGGAAAAAAAACAAAGTCACATGGGAGGCGGTTGCGTGGCTTAGGAGAGCGGTCTGCTGAGATTCTGAGTTCAAATCCGAGTTTCGGCCACTCGTAAATGTGCCCGAGTGCAGCGAGTTGATGGCCTTAGCCTGGTCACCCATGACTGTAGAAAAATAACCCCCAACACATAAAATGTGGGTTTTCATCGCATTTGAATAAATTCCAGTTTAGAGAAAAAAACACATGGTTTGCAATTTTTACAAATGACAAATATCTCTGGAGCAGGGTATGCGTGAAAGTGCTGCATCCCCGGTATTGGCGATGTCACTTTGAGTGATCTCAATATTTGTTCCGTGATATTCTCCTCTGGGGTCCCTTGTCTAACGCTTGGTCGAACATTGCCCTACGAGAGTTCCAAACGGACTCTTCTTCTCAGGACATGACACCGACAGCAAAATTTGAATGAAATTAAGGAAACTGAATGTTATTAAGTGAGTCACAGAGCGATGGTACATTACGGAGGGATGAGTAAACGTGGGTGGAGTGTGCACAAGTGGATCAAGTGCGTCAACAACTTTCCGCGGTGGTGAGATGTTAACTACCTCGCTTGGTTCGCAGGAGATCGTGGGTACGATCCGGACCCTGACGCCTGCTGTATATTTGGAGTTTGCATGTTCTCCCCGTGGTTGTGTGGACTTTTTTTCCGAGACATCTCGGTTTTTCCCTCCACATTTAGAATCAACATGCTTTTAAGAGTATTTGGCTGCTACAAATTCCGCACGATAAGCCATTTCGTTGAGCTATTTTTTGCGGTCAGTTCGCTTCTGAAAAATATCTATTTTGCTCAGTGGGCCTTACCTGGTAAAATAAAAACAAGTTTATAGTTTAGTTCCATAGCAACATTCTCACGTGCAACACAGTCTGTACCGCGTAATTAAACCAATCCTGAATTGGTATTTGCACTTAAATTAACTATATCCATCAACTGGAGGTAT